ATAGGGTTATGGAAGGATGGAAGGAAAATTCCAGATGAAAGTCCATTGTCCCCAAGCCTTAAGGAAACGCTCTTATGCAACTCTACTCTATCATCAGAAACTCATTTGCATCTTCCTTGTGTTCTCATTTCAGCTGCCTCATCTGGCTTTGCAGTCTGGTCTGCCTGTTGCACCTATTGGTGTTTATTACCTTAAAAAAATTAAAATAAAGCAAATGTTCCTTCCAACTATACTAAAATACACAGCTCATTGCTTGCAGTTATCTCTCCAGCTGACAATTCCTAGGCACAAACTTATACGGTCATGCAAAGGCTTATTTCGCCAGTGGAAAAATATATTTCCATCTCCTTTCATTCTGTCGGGGAAACACTGGCCTGCTGCCCGTCAGTATTTACAACTTGGAAGTCTCTAGCTATTTGTCGCAGTCTATAACAACAACAACTTCTGATGTAACTAAAATTGGCACTCCCAGCCACTTGCTTCAACCTCTGAAGCAACGTTGGTTTCAAAATCCCATTTATTTTTTCTCTAGAAACCCCTACCTTACATAGGCCAGTCCGCAGCTGTCTTCTGGAGATCATAGGCCTTGCTTTCATATTGTCTGATCAAACTCAACCATCTCTATTTGAGTTGATCAGATTCATAGCCTCCCATTTGTGGGAAGTAACATTGGCATGTGTCCTATCTCTCCTCACAGGCTTACAGTCTTTTTCCTTTGCAAGGGCATCATTAGATTTGTTCATGAGGATTGCACAGCTCCCAATCAGCCTTGCCTGCAGTGGTCTGAATACACTTTGAAGCCATGATAGGTTGGACTTTTAACCTCTTCGCTGCTGCCAATGTAGGGATTATGTCGGCAGCAGCACTGAAATGTAAACAGACTCCTGGGTGTGAGTTAGTTTACCTTTTCACATTAAGCTGTCAGCTTTCTACAGCTGCCTAATCACTTCTACATGCTGCAGAAGGTACCTGTCCCTCCTGTATGCCCAGGACATCCATGGAAGCATTGAGAGCAGCAGGAGATAAGCATACATCTACTTACTGATCTCCCCTGTGAAGAATGAACCCTGAAGCAATTAGCTCCGATTACTTCTGAGTTTAGAGCGATCAATCTCCAGACTCCGTGGCTGGTGAAGATGCTGATCTAACACAATCTGTGCGGAGGTGACATTAGGGGTCTGATAGACTCTTGATGTCTCCCTAAAAAGAATCTGTCCACTGCATATGTTATCATATAGGGAGCTTATCAGTTTGCTTGTGATTATGATAAAGTTAGTTTAAAAAAAATTTAAAGGAAAAAATTCAAGAATTAAAGTTTGATAAAAACACCACTCAAAATTCTAAAATCGCTCACCAGCATGTGCATGCTCATACAAAATTAAACGCACCAGCCAGGTGCACTTAAGTATGAAAATGATGATTGCACCACACATATTAGGTATCACTGCGCATATTGATGTTAGAGCAATAATTTTAGGGCCTTCATTCACTGTTAACTTTAAATTGATCAGCTATAAAGGTTTCTAAAGGCTTGCCTTTGGACATTTTTGGGTACTGTAGTTTTAATTTTGAGCCTTGATATATTTTGCATCTATTTACTTGATGCAAGCTCATGTTTTATATTTGTAAAAAAAAATGGGTTGCGTATTGCCACATAACAAAATAATGCAACTTCCACTATTTTATTGTACAGGATCTCTGCTTTCAGAACATGTACAAGGTTTTGGGGGTTTTTAAAGTGTATTTCCATGTTTGCAATCACTTTTGAGAAACCAAGTGGCGTCACAAGGGGGGTGACACCAAAATGAATGACAGTGCGATGACGACACGTCTAGAGACCGGGTGACACAGGGCCTTGGGACGCCCCTGGAGAAACCCCACTATATATTTGTTATGTGCTGTCATTCAAACAGCATATCTAAAAAAAAAAAAAAAAATTCTTATATTCCTAAATGTTTCTTTAGTGCAGACTGCAAGATGCTGTGAACAATTTGAAAGTGGAGAGAGACATAGCGGTGGACAGAGTTTCCTCTCATTAACATACAATTCAGAACACAAGCTCTGAGATCTTCAACCCTTTTTTTTTTAGGACAGACAGTGTTTAAATCTAGTTCACAATTGATAGTGAGATCTGCCAGCACAGTACAGAAATGATTAATTATGGTAAGCATTAACTCTATACCCCCCCACCTTTGTATATAGCAGGGAAAAACTTATTAGGGGTATTAAAAAAATTAGCAAGTAATAATGTTAGCAGCAAATGCTAAATATTTTTAGCAGTTATGCTACGTGAATGGGAACATAAAATATAAGTAGATGTTATCCCAATCTGGCTACAAAAGTGGAAATGTGCATTGTAACATGTTTGCAAAAAGTGAAACAATGTTTATGGCAGCAAAAAGGCTAATGTCCTACTTTCCAAATCCACAGTCTTGCTAGCAGTGTCACGCAAACTTTCTGATGCTAAGCTGCTATTTTAGTAACGCCACTTCCAACTCTGCCTTCTTCCTAATTTTGGATTCTGTATGTAGAGCATACGGAAGTGTCAACTAAACATGGCTACTGCATGCATCTCTCACTTACCGTACCCAAAACTGTTAAGGTTAACGTTTCTGGTAAACTCTGAGACCCCATTCCTCCAAGTGCATCTCTAAAGAGAAGCATACTTATCAAACCCCTTTGCAATAGACAGCCATGCACCATCCCTAGCGCAAACAGTCAGGTTGCATACCCCTTGCTCTTCACTGATTTATTTTGCATGCTTACTACCCTTTCTTGAGAATTTTTATTGAGCAAAGATATCAAAAATCATGCCCACCTCAATATAATCCAATTTAACAAATCTCTAATGATTTTAATTGTCTTATTAGTGCTCCTACAGTGCTTTCCAAAAAAGTATATACTGTACACATGTGCACAATGGGAAAAAAATATTCAGTTTAATGAATTAAAGCTGTAAAAGCTGTGCAAAAGAATTTACGTAATACTTACAGAGAAAATAGTGAATCTAGCCATACACATGCATACACAAGCAATCAACCCTAAACTATCTATTTACACTAGTTTAAGCATGGAACAAAGTAATAATTCACCTGCACAATTATTACTTAGCTTTAAGGCTGGGTTCACACCTAGGCGTATTGAATATGCGCGTTTTTACCGCGATTCGCGGTAAAAAAAACGTGCGACAAACGCCTGTTTCCGAGAGCTACTTGGCTGTATCCCAATGGAAACGTGAGACCAAAACGCCCCAAAGAAGTACATGTACTTCTTTGGGGCGTAGGCCGTTTTGTATCGCGTTCGGACGGGCGGAAATACGGCAAGGTATGAACCAGACCCATTGAATACAATGGGATTTAGATGTTTGAGCATTTTGTAGAGCGTTCATCGAGCGTTGAACGCGCTACAAAACGTTCAGGTGTGAACCAGGCCTAAATCTGGAACTTCAGTCAGTTCTGATGGGTGATGCATGCTTCATCATATGGGCAAGCAGAGTCTTTGTTTTGTCAGAGGCCACAGGCATAGCTTCTTATCTTCCTTTTATTGTATGCAGCACTGTGTGTTATTCCCAAACACATAGCTGCGTGATCTCACTTTCTGCCTCCCCCATTTCCTGCCAACATCTCTTCTTGTTTAACCAGCCTTTTCAGGCCAGATAGGCAAGTTCGTTAGCATTTAAAGAGAAGAAGCCTAGCGCTTGGCTCTCTCTAAAGACTAAAGTATCAGATTTTGGCCAGTTCCTGATGAACTGGCCGAAATTCACACAGTGGGTGCTGTTGTCATCACCCTTCTGTCTGGCATCCTTTGATTCAAGGAGCAGGTTGGAAAATTTTCGGCTGAATGGAGCTGGCAGCCAGTCAGCTTCATGCTCCGTTCAGGTAATTCAATGACAACAGCGGGGGATTCCTCCATCCATGCTTGTAAGCATGGATGTAGGAATCTGTTATATTATCTTTGTTAAGTCGGCAGGTTGAACGAAGAACATATACGTGTATACCCAAGTTAAGACACCATGAACCTTTTTTTTCTAGATGGTAGCTAAAATTATATTCCATATTTTTCCAAAAATCACTAAAATGGCCTAAGCACATGGGGTTTTAATTATTTTCTACCCTATCCAAAACGGAAACAAAATATTTTGGTTATACAAACACTTTAAGGCCTCATTCACACGGGGCACGTCCATGCGGCGTGCATGCCCGTAAACAGGCCGCTCTCAAGAGGGATGGGTGCTGCATCTGATTGTACGCAGCAGCCTGTTCTTCCCTATGGGAGGATGCGGCTGTACCCTGTCATATGCACACCCGAACTTGCACATCTGTGTGGGTCCAGGTTTCCGCACTTAAAAGCACACTGTCTGCATCCAAGTGTGAACACCCGGACCCGCACAGATGTGCAAGTTCGGGTGTGTGTATGACAGCGTACAGGTACGTCCTCCCATGGGGAAGAACAGGCTGCTGCGCGCAATCACACGCAGCACCTGTCCCTCCCTGGATCGGCCCGCTTACGCCTAATTTAAACCTGTATCTATATAAAGAAAAGAAAACATAATTGCTTTTATATGGCAGGCAACCCACAATGTACCATCGTACTTTAACAGTGTCTGCCCACTTTCCTGATACAAATAACATCCTGCAAACAGCATTCACAGAGCTTCAGTGGCACATTGGGCAACCAGGCAGACAGTTGTAGGAAATTGGTTGCATGTTTATTTTAACTACAGTTTTGCATAGTTAATTGACAATTTATGGTATACTTCACAGATTTTACCACTTCTGGGCAATTAAAGCATTTGATAGTCACACATAAAATAAAACCTGTAGCTTACTGACACACAGTGAGATAGTTGAAATATGTTACATACTGTATGTTATATGGTAGGCAGTTGTATAAAAAATGGCTGCATTTTACAGGCAGATCGTTGTCTTTGTTTGAGAATCATAGGCTATGTGTGTTTTTTCATGGTTTAATAATCATTTCCACCTCTAATATCCCCACAGGTAACAGTGTGCTGGGTAGGTGATGAGTCTCTCCATAACAAAGCCCAAATGTCTCGACAGGCAGAGCACGCTGGCATCCGCACTTACTACTTTAGTGCAGAAAACAGAGAAGAGCAAGATTCTTGGGTGCATGCAATGGGGGAGGCATCCCAGGTCCAGAAACTTCCCACTCCAAGGTCAGTTACCCGTCAATAGTATCTGTGTTTAAACATATTTAACTTTTGATTTGGTAGATTTTTCATATATTTGAAAATACAATATTCTTATTGTCCTTTGAGGGGCGCAGGAATAGTAGTATTCATAGACATATGGGTTATATGCAGCTGCAGGAGGTGTACACTGGCAAACAAATGAAAGTTGAAGGTCAGCACCCTTATAACCCCACCCACAGCCATGCTGCCTCAGTTTGACCTTAGGAGGTTGGACGCTCTGCTGAGGTAAACTTCTTTCTATAAATTTTCTCGATTTTTTAGTTTTACTTCAGTTAAGTACAGTGTGTACCACCCTCTGAAGACACCATTGTAAGTAATGCCCCCCGGGGGGTGACAATGTGACAGATGAGTATAACGTGGGCACAGGGCTCTGCTAGTGGCGTCTTCCTTACCACTATGTATTGTTTTGTTTAGCCACAGAGCGCTCTCTAGTTTAACCCCTTCATGACTGAGGCCCTTTTTTCCATTTTTGCACCCATGTTATATTCCACATTTTAGGCCTGAAAATGACGTAAGTGCATGTTCGGTGTACCACAGTTTCTCCTTTTTCCATTTGTAAGCATACCTTGATAAATACGGTTCAGTGAGGGGTAACACTATCACCTCATCCAATCACTATCCAAATCTTGCTGACTCAATCTCTGCAACATTCCAAAATTCCCAAATCCTTAACGAATGGCACCACAAAGATTTTAATTCACTTACTTGTAATCTCCTGCCTTGCCTATTGCAACTCCCTCTTCATTGACCTACCACTACACAGGCTATCCCCCTTTCAGCCTGTCACGAATGCTGCTGCCAGACTCATCCACTTTACCAAGTGTTCGGTATCCACCACCCCTCTCTCCACTGACTCCCATGTGCCCAATTAATAAAATTCAAAATGCTAACAATAATATGCAAAGCCATCTACATCTCTGCCCCAAGCTACATCACCAACCTCATCTCAAAATTTGACCCAAACCTTTCTCTGCGCTCCTCTCAAGGCATCTTGCTCTCTAGCTTCTTCGTTACTTCCTCCTATACTCGCCTCAAGGACTTCTTCAGAGCCTTTCCCATCCAGTGGCACTCCATACCTCAATTATTATTATACAGGATTTAAAAAGCGCCAACAGTTTGCGCAGCGCAGTTTGCGCATAAGGAAGACATTACAATACAATTCAAGACAAGCCGGAAGGCGGGCCCTGACCCTGAGGGCTTACAATATAAAAGGGAGTGGCAAGTGATACGTGAGGAGGTAGCTATGGGGATTCATTGTTTGTGAACTTGATAGTTCAGTGGTTAATTTGAGGTGGGATAGGCTTCCCTGAAGAGATGAGTCTTTAGGGATCGCCTAAAGGCAGTCAGAGTAGGAGATAGATGGACAGGTTGGGGTATGGTGTTTCAGAGGATGGGATAGACTCTAGAGAAGTCCTGGAGGCGAGCATGGGAGGAGTTGACGAGGGACCTGGAAAGCAGAAGGTCTTTGGAAGAGCAGAAGGGACGGTTAGGTGATCCTTTGAGACAAGGTTTGAGATATAGCCGGGGGCAGAGTTGTGGATGGCTTTGTAAGTGGTTGTTAATATTTTATCCTGTGGGCGATTGGAAGCCAGTGGAGGGATTGGCAGAAGGGGGTTGCAGACACTGAACAGTTGGTTAGGTAGATGAGTCTTGCAGCAGTATTCATGATAGACTGAGGGGATAGCCTGTTTAGAGGTAAGCCAATGAGGAGGGAGTTGCAATAGTCAAGACGAGAGATAACAAGTGAGTGGATGAGCAGCTTTGTGGTTTCATTGGTGAGGAAGGGGCATATTTTGGAGATGTTGCAAAGGTGAAGGCGGCAGGATTTGGATAGTGATTGGATGTTGGGCAGAAAGGTGAGAACCGAGTCAAGGATCACACCTAGCACCTCGGCATGCGGGGAGGACTGGATAGTTGTGTTATAAATCTCAAGGCAAAAGTTGGGATGGTGCACATGCGGGAGAACATATCATGAACTAAGTTTTTGAAAGGTTGAGTTTAACCCCTTCGTGACTGACGACGTACAGTGTACGTCGCCAGCATCGGGGCTGTTTAAACAGACTCCCGGCGACTTTTGCCGCCGGGAGTCTGTTTAAACTTGTAGAGCCGACTGTCGGCAATAATACCTCTTATGACCGGAGACTGAACTCAGCTGCAGAAATCCCCTTCAACAAGTCCAAAAAAAACAATCCCTGCACTTCACAAGGTAAAGTATCAATAAGTTTGAATGAGCAAGTGTCAGCAGTAGTACTTGTAATGTTCACTTCACAAACAAGCAGGAAAAGTCAATAGTTTGAATGAGTATGTAACAACTGTGGTAATTACATTACATACTTGTAATGTTCACTTCACATCACAAGGGTATTTATCAATAAGTTTGAATGGCAAGTATAAGCGGTGGTACTCGTAATGTACACTTCACCTACAAGCAGGAAAAGTCAGTAGTTTAAATGAGCATGTAACAGCTTGGATAATCAATACTTGCTGTTAGGTGTAGTCTGCTTAATATGGTCATCTATCCCTGGAGTGGGCAGATTCCTGGCTGTAGAGGCTGGTATAGTGGAGAGCAGAGGTTCAAGTGCAGGATTGCGATGCACTAGAAGTCTAAGCAGCCCAGAAGGATCAGCAGGGTAGGAGGGCTCTGGAAAGTGGCCAGGGAGCGACTTTTCATTAAGGATGGAGAGCGGAGTTCCACAGAGCTTGTCTGGCATCCGCGTCTATTGCAGGAACGCCGGACAAGTAAAACTTTGCGGCTTAAGGAGGGCAAAGCGGCGTGACATTGAGATGTCATTGGAAGCCATGTGAGGTTATAAACTGACCAAGGGAGAAGATGTAGATAAAGAAAAGGGGTCCAAAGACAGAGCCTTGGGGTACCCCTACAGATAAAGAAAGAGGAGGGGAGGAGTTGGATTTGTAGGTGACACTAAAGGAGTGCTTAGATAGGAAAGAGGAGAACCATGAGAGAGCAGAGCCTTGTAGGCCAAGTGAGTGGAGTTTTCTGAGGCGCAGCAGGTGGTCATTAGTGGCGATTGTTTTTGGCAGTTAGTAAGTCATTAGTGAGTTTTAGGGGGGTGGTTTCAGTGGAGTGTTAGGTCCCATTCACACGTAGCGATTTATCGCGGCGATATTGCACATTTTTGCCGCGCGATATCACGAGAAGTCGCCGGCTAATGATATTCAATGGAGCTGTCTTAGCTCCATGTCGCGCATTGCAAGTCGCTTCTACAGGACCCTTTTTTCGGCGGATTTTGCGCGATTTTGCTTTTTTTCTAATGGAGCCTGACGGAGAAGGTCGCGCTACCGTCGCTGGAACGTCGCCCTGAAAGTCGCGCTATCCCGGCCGCTGCAAAAGGTATGTCGCTACGTCTGAATGGGGCCTTAAGGTGAAAGCTGGACTGTAAGGGGTCAAGAAGGTTGTTATCAGTGAGGTGGCGGCTCAGGCATCTGTAGATAAGGCACTCTAGGAGTTTGGAGGTGAAGTGGAGTACAGAGATTGTTAAGGTTGGTAGGATCCAGTGAGGGATTTTTTTGGTATTGGGGTGACCAGTGCATGTTTTAGCAGGGAGGGAAAGAGTAAGAGAGTGTAGAATAGAGCAAGAGGGTGACGAATTGGTGGTGAGGGAACAGGGCCCAGGGGGCAAGTGGTGAGGTGGGTGTCAGAGAGAAGCGTTGTATCTTCCTCTATGGTGACAGGATCAAAAGAGGAAAGTCACAAGTGTGTTGGTGGGTCTGGTACATTAACAGGGGAAGGTGACTGGACAATGGAGATCTGATACCGAATTGTATCTTATTTTGTTTTTGAAATTAATTGCAATGTCCTGGGCAGTGAGTTAGTTAGTGGGTGGAGGGGGTGAGGGACATACAGTAGTAGAGAGTTAAAAGTAGAAAAGAGCTGACGAAGACTAGATAAGAGTGTGTTAATGAAATGAGAGTGACAAAATAAGTCTGTTTGGCAGCACGGAGGGAGGAATTATATTTTAGGGGGGCAGTTTTATAAAGGGTGAAGTCTTGCAGAGACCTAGTTTTCCACCACAGCCACTCAAGAGCGCGGATATGTCTTTTAAGATGTCTGGTTTCTTCGGTTTTCCACTGTTGTAGTGGACGTGGCCAAGGTCTGCGTGTAGTGAGGGGAGCCAAGGTGTCTAGGGAGGATAAGAGCGGGCTGTTGTAGACAGAAGTAGCCAGGTAGGACAGAGGTTAGATTTTGTCATAGAGGTAGTCCGCTTATCTCCCATTCTCTCCACCTTTAGGCAATCCTACAGGAAAGCCTACCCCACTTTCACATAATAACTGTACTTTCACTTCTTCATCAGTTCATCCCTCAGAGTTAATGCCTTTTGTATTGCTTGCCCTTCCTACTAGATTGTAAGCGCTCAAGAGCAGGGTCCTGCTAACACTCTGTATTGAATTGTATAGTAACTGTACTGTCTCCCTTCATTTCATAAAGTGCTAGACAAACCGCTGGTGCTATATAAATCCTGTATGATAATAATAATTCTGGTATATGACGTTGATCAAATTACTTTGCATGTGGCGCTTAGAGATATAAGTGATGTCAGTCAGATGCATAACTGTGTCAGTTAGCTGCAGTTTCAGATCAGGAGTACATTCAGTCTCTAATAGCTCAATGTGTAAGTATGCCTCTGTAAGTGGCAACAATATCCTGAAAAGTGATATTGACTACCTGCTGTCCGGCCGTTGTAATTAAACGCTAGGCGGCGGGCACGAGCGGGAAGCCGGCTTTGAATGTAAACAGCCAGCGATGGCTGTTTGCATACAAGCGTTCGGGCGTCTGTAGAGATGACCGATCGCTTGTAATATCCGGTCGGATGTGCGGCCCCTCCCTCTGTCGGCACCGCTGCTGGCCATCCCGGGCTCCGCTGTTCCCGGTGTGAGCCCGGGACCAGCACAGCAGCTCTGCGGCCGGAGATCAAACGGAGCTCAGTACACGAGCTCCGTTTGATCTCCTCTCCTCTTCTGAATGCAGGCAGTGATGTGTATTACATCACTGCCTGCATTCAGTGTCACTCTCCGGTAAAGAAACCGGAGAGAAGCTGGTGAAGCAGGTCTCTGCTTCATCAGCTTCTCTGGGGGTCTCTAGGTGACATTAGGGGTCTTAAGACCCCTGATGTCTCCATAAAGAGGACCTGTCACTGCAAATTGGCTATCACATAGGGAGCTTGCTTTCTCCCTATGTGATAGCAATAAAGTTCAGTGGGAAAAAAAAAGGTTTAAAAAAATCTGTTACAAAAAAAAAAAATCACATATCAAAGCAATTAAAAAAAAATAAAAAATTAAAGTCCTCCGCCCCCACACGCAAACATGCGTCAAGCCCGCCTACGTGAGAAAACGCCGATTACATCCATTGCGCGGCACATGTTACATATCGCCGCGAACGTCGGAATGAGAGCAATAATTCTAGGGTCATCAATCACTGATAACACTAAACTGATGAGCGGTAAAAGCTTTTAAAGCGTCGGCTATGGTCAATTTTGAGTATAGTAGTTTTTTGCAATTTAACGGGTGCGCACAATTTTAAAGCTTGACATGTTTGGTGTCTATTTACCCGACGTGACCCCATCTTTTATATTTTACCAAAAAATTGGGTAATAATAAACATAACGTAGGGAGAACAGGTTTTTTTTCAAAATTTTCGGTACTTTTTTTATTATACAGTAAAAAAACAAAACCTCTAGTGGTGATTAAATACCACCAAATGAAAGCTCTATCTGTCCCCAAAAAATGTTATAAAATTCATTTCAGTACAGCGTTGCATGACGGAATAAATGTCAGTAAAAGTACTGCAGAGCTGAATACTGAAAAATGGCCTGGTCAGGAAGGGGGTATAAACACCCCGGTTAGCCACCTCCTGACATGAACCTTGTAGATGAGGGTGGGCGTTTTAAAAAAGTCCTTCCACACCCCCACTCGTGTGTGCCACACAAGTGGGAAAACTTTGAAATGTAAACTGCCGGCGATGGCTGTTTAAATACAAGCGTTCCAGGGGCTATAGAGCCGCCCGATTGCTTGTATTTTGCGTTCGGGCATCCGCCACCACCGGTCCCAAACTCCGCGGTGCCCAGGACCGTCACAGCAGCTCTGTGACCAGAGATCAAAAGGAGTACACGATCTCCCTCTAAGCTCCTCTCCGGTGTCAGAATGCAGGAAGTGACGTATATTACATGACTTCCGCATTCAGCTGTCATTCCTGGCTACAAAAGCTGTAGAGAAGCTGGTGAAGCAGATCTCTGCTTTATCAGCTTCTTTGAGGGTCCCTAGGTAACATTAGGGGTCTTAAAGACCCCTGATGTCTCCATAAAGAGGACATGTCACGTAAATTGGCTATCACATAGGGGGCTTGTTAGCTCCCTACGTGATAGCAATAAAGTTACGTTTTAAAAAAAATAATAAAGAGGCATAAAAAAACTAAAATCACATATAAAAAAAATTGACACAAAAAAATGTAAAAGTCCGCCACCCCCACATATACACGCAAACATGCGCTGTGTGCGCCTACGTGTGAAAACAACAATTGTGCCCATTGCGCTGCGCATGTTACATATCACCACGAGTACAAGCAACAATATTAGGGCCATCAGTCACTGTTAACACTAAACTAGTGAGCGGTAAAAGCTTTTAAAGCGTCGCCTATGGCCAATTTTGGGTATAGTAGTCCTTTGCGATTTCGCAGGCGCACGCAATTTTAAGGCTTGACATGTTTGGTGTCTATTTACCCGACGTGACCCCGTCTTTTATATTTGCCATGGAAGAATCACACAGCAAAAATGTAAAAAGTGCGTCAGTCATTAACAATCAGAAACTAAAAACAAGCTCAGTCTGAAGGGGTTAATATAAAAATCCAAGTACAGTATTTTGTTTGATTCCAGTAATGATCCTGTTCAAATGTTACCATTATCCATGCCCTACCTACCTTGAAAATATAAAATATATGTAAGAAGAAAAAGAAAAGTGGAGGGAGAAGGAAATATAAAAAATAGCAAGGGGGTGGTGGGGGGTGTAACGGGTACAACTAACTGAGGTTTTGCCTCTTTACAAACCACCCGGAGACCTCAAAAAAAGGAGGTTCCAGGAATGTAAACCTGGTGGGAGGTAAGAAGGAACAGAGGTCTCGGAGCGGATAGCAATCTCTGTGTCACGACTTTAAGAATAGTAAGTAAGATCTTCAAAAAACAGCATAACATTCAATATAAGGAACATAGTTTCAGGATACAGAGCCAAGCGGAAGAATAACAGGAGAGTGTATAGGTAGATACATGGAGACCAGCCCCTCGTGAGTATAACGGGTTCAAGGAAGTGGGATGTCCAGAAGTCTAGGACCAGTCAATTCCAGGTATTATCCAACAAAGAACAAGTAAATAAAAACAGAACTACAATAAAACTAGATCATAGGACAATCATGAGATTGTCTCCAGCATTTAGCAGAGACATCCAAAGGATACAGTTGGGATAGGCTAGAAAGAGCAACAAAACGGTCTACTGCCACAGGAGCATCAAGAGTGCCAGCCCCAGAGGGTGGCTCGACCAATGCCAAATCTGCAGTAATGGGACTAGCGTCTCTAGGCAGGCTAATATGGCCCCACCTCATGTGGCCAGTGAGTCTAACATGGGCATGCCATCCCTAACTCCCAACCCCATCCGAGGGCATAGTCCAGAGAGAGGTGCGGCAAACACCGGCAACCCTGCTGACATCAACATCCGGATCACCTTCTGTCTTTGAACAGGAAAACCTTCAACATACAGTAGCTAGAGGAAAGTCTTTTGAACACCAAGTCAACAGGCGAATATGGTGAATACAAAAAAAAAAAAAGGGAAGGACGAGTCAGCCCATGGGAATAAAGGTGAACTACACCTCTCGGGGAACAATTCCCCGGAAGGTACGTTGCCTGCTCAAATGGAACCTGTGCTGATGAGGAGACACTACCCAGTAATACAATATATCAGCTTAACATGCCAATGGCAGGTGAAAACTCTGCAGGCAATGAGTGAAGAGGACACAAAAGTTCAATTAGTGGAAACATTTTTATATTAGGATTAAACTCTGAAAGTTTTTTTCCAATACTGAATCCAGATTAAAAAACTATACTTATATATGCCCAGCAAAGCATTGCTTTACATTTTTGCCCAGACTGCTTCCAAGTCTCTCAGCTCAACTTCCCTAAACTTCCTGTCCACTACAAGATCACAAAGGACAGAGCAGACTCCAGCAACTGTCCATCTACCAGCTTGGAGAAGGGAGGAGAGGGGGACAGGGGGGAGGGGGTAGCTTAATTTGCTGTGTTTGTGGAGACACACACAGCTTACTAGTACACAAGGGTGACTGCATAGCACTCTGCTTGAGAAAGGAGTCCCTCTAAAACAGGAAATCAGGACCAGTGCTTAGGGGACCAGCTGCAGGAAACCAAAACTCCTAAACATCAATCCTTTTGACTTTAATATCACTTTAACAATCATGTCACTGGCTTTTTTTCCAGCTGTCCCACAAGGGTCAGCTGTTCCTAACTTAGATAATGCATATAACAGCCTGGAAAGATTCCAACTTAATTTTAACAAATACAAAAAAGATATGAGCGGTAGCCCCTCTGTGTCTGCCTTTATGAAGAGCCTGAAGACCACAGTGCAGATCTTAGAAGTCCCTGCAAAAGTGAGTGTCAGCCCAATAATACGAAGTGCTTAAAATTAAAGGAGAATTATGAGGCGAGTGATTTTCACTCAGCTTCATAATCTGAGCCGACCTGTGACAAAAAAAAACTGTCACAGGTCAGCTTAGTAGATCGTGAGAGAACACATACTGTCGCTCGCTCACTTCTCGATCTATCCCTGCAGAGAGCTGTGACTGTCACTCACGGCTACCTGCAGGGATTCCCCCCCTCTCCTGTCCGATCCTCCAGTGCTGACTGGTGAAAAGGACGGGGGGAGGGGGTGGTCACTGCTGGTTCTGCTTCTGGATAGGCAGAGCCAGCTGTCAATCCCGCAGCTGGGTGGATCCAGACAGTATTGTCGGGATTCGTCCCGGCTGCGGCATCTCAGTAAACCTGTAGCTGTAGCTCGCGGTATACTGAGCTTTGGGTCACGGGAGAACGCTAGTTTGTGTTCTCCCGTGACCCTTAGGAGAACTATGGGGACAAGCCCTGACCCCATAGTTCTCCTTTAAGTCAATGTCAGCATGTAAGGTCATGAGCCTGGATTCACTGAAAATTCTGCTAAAACCTGTCCTCTAGGGTTGCAACAACTAATCGACATAATCGATTATAATCGATTATTGAAAAAGTTGTCAACTTTTTCAATAATCGATTAATCGGCTTCCGATCTACACTTGCTTTTACAGTCTTATACAGTGGCTGGTCTAATCTTTAAAAGATCTTCTCCCCAAAAGTGCTTTGGGGTACATCAGAGTATTTCTACTTTATGGAAAGAGTAGGAAATGGTTAAAACCCCTCCTTATTCCTTTTGGAAGATTTCCCCTCTATTGTTACAGTGATACACGTATTCTTTCAATGTCTAAATACCTTATGTGGATTACTAATAGTCACTGTACTGAAACAATGTGAATTCTAAGGTTAAGGGACACAGTAATACTGTATTTTAAAATCTGTTGCTTTGTTTTATCTACTTCTCTGCTCTGCAGTGGTAGTTAAAATTCTAAAGTGACAACATCTAAATTATTTTCAAACACAATACCACAATTTGAAATAATTTTATCTGTCAATAGGTGTTTTCAGCTCCTGTAAAAACACATAAACATTGATATGATTAATAGGTGATCTCAATATCATTTTTGTTTTTTAGACTAGAGAGGAAGGACAGTGAAAATATACCACCTGCCAGAGATCAAGATCCAGAAACACGAAGCCGTGGGGAAGGAGATGGAAGAGGTTCTGAAAAGTTGGAGAGGAGATCTGAAAGTAACCAGTTAACCAAAGTTAATGGTTCAGGGGCTTCATCTGAAAGAATCGCAGACCTGGATCTCCCAAGACATTTACTTGAAGGAGAGCACCCTATGCAACCAAATGGATGGAGTTTTGCCCCTTCACCAGTTCGACCAGCAAGTAAAGCTTTTCCAGAAGGAAATGGGCAGCGGGCAAACCTGCCGCGTACACACCCAGAAAAACTGGCACAGAGACAAAATTCTATGTCACAGCTGCAGCAGTGGGTCAATCTACGTAGATCTGCTGTTCCTACAGAAGAATTGCAAAGGTCAATTTAGATCATGTCTATTGGAAAGTAGTGGCTGTAAATGTATTAATGTTATCATTTAGTATGGGACATAGGATCAGTAGTTACTCTGATACGATTTAGTTATAGTGCTTCCTTCAGAAGGTTTGGACACTGGTAAACAAAAAAAAAAACAGCGACAATATAACCCCGGCTTCAGCTGTCATGCATCAGTTTTTTGCTAGTGGCCTAGGAGGTTGACACTTCAAGGAAAACTCTGTCTATTTGTTGATTGCACATCACAGGACACAAGGAGTTAATCTCGAAAACAGTAGGTTATGCAGTTACTTGCAGGTGATTGGACACTGTCAAATCTATCAAAGCTGCAGGAACAGCCCTGCATAATCCTTCCAACTCCTAATGTGCCTCAGTTTTTTTGCTAGTGTTCTTAGGTGATGGGCACCTTCTCGGACCTCTAAGAGAGGCACACTCTCTATTTTTCATTTTTTGCTACTCTTTTTATGCACACGTATTTGAAAAATTTACATAATGCTGCATCATGCCACTGCAGAACCTATATCAGCTATCCAAATCTGTTGTCTTCTTAGCAGTGTTATGTCAGTCCGTACCTGGACCCTGCCAGACAAGACACAGGATCAGCTTGTAATGTGCTAAGTCAATAGACCCTGCATTTGGCACCCTCCATGGCACTCTGTGCAGTGTGTGGTTAGTTGCAGGGTGCTTGAAAGGTCCAGGGCCATGATCCATCTTGGTGGAGCCCTGACCCTGAAGACCTTCCTAGGAGGCTATGCCAACCTGGTGGACAAAGCATGTATAGTATGTCTCCTTTTATCTCTGCTGTGACCTTGGTACTCAGACAGCTGCCCAGTCCCATAGTGGGTTCATTTCTGTGTGTGTGTGTGTGTGTGTGTGTGTGTGTGTGTAAAAGCAGTACCTGGGCAAAGCAATAAAATACAGAAGGGTCCCTTGAAGGACTTCTAGAAATTGGTTTTACAGTGAGTACAAAAACCTACTGGACAAAACACAGGTCCACAAGAGAAGACCATCCCTGTGTGTTTTATTGCTTTGCTCTGGTACTGCTTTTTCACACAAAAAACACCAAGTGAAAAGTAGGTTTGCCCAAATGAGTGGGGTTTCAAATGAGTGTGGTTAAGCAATAAAAAATAAACAGTACCCCCCAATTAGGCACTGAGCTTCCAAGTGTGCCCAGTTTTTCATAGTGCCTACCAGAGCCCCTAAAATATATTGGTTGATCAAGGTGTCTCCATATGCCCCTCAATTATATAACGTGCACCCAAGATCACCTACATTTTTCAAATTGCCGCCAAGGTTTCCTCAATTATAAATAGCACACACAAGTGTTCCTCATTAATATACTAATCAGTGTTGCACCCTTCAATTAAGCCCCTTTATTATATTCAGTACTCATCATCTATATGTAATTCCCTTCAATCACTGCTTTGACTCTTATACATAATGATTTTCAGTCAGTGTTGTGCCCCTCTGTTATATATCAGTGCAAGTCCTCTCCTACAGTATACTCAATGCGCAGTTATGTGGAAGAAGACTTCCCCTTCCAGTACTAGCACCAACTTTATCCCTAAACCATACTACAGGGGTAACATTCAGAAACCCTACCTGGGTGCTGGGCACTTTAGTGATCACAATTTAAAGTGTATGTTACCCTAAAAAAAATGTTTTCAAATATGTACAGTCGCTCATGGTAGAAGCCTCACTGTCAAAAAAGCATCTGATTGTAGTGTACAACAGAGGTGATGATGAGAGGAGGAACGCCATTCTAGAATGTGTTCATCACTTGTCAGTAGCTCAGCGTACACAGCACGGAATGTACTTTCCAACTGTGTATGACACCTAAGTGCCCACCCTCTTTTGAAACTGATATGCCCCCGGCTAACAGGAAAAAAGGAATATACACAAATAAAACTTTGTGAAAAGGTACTAAATATTTTTAATTTAAAAATAATTATTGTGATTATGGTATCTAAATAATATTTACTGTTTTACTATGACCTTTACTTGATGTGTAAGCACAAAGAAAATCCTTAGGATGCCCTGCTGCACTCCTTACCGAAGAACCTCTGAAGGTGGGTGCTGAAGTGATTGGGGATGGCACTGCGGGCATCAAACGTAGAACAAAAATGTCACCAGCACACCAAACAATGTGGTCGAGTGTTCGTCTTTTATTGATGCATAATGTCACATTGAAGCAATGTTTAGGGGCCGCGCAGGGTCCCCTTCATCAGGCGCAGTGTCACAAGAGCAACATAAAGCGAGCCTGTATGAGTCAGTTAGTCATAGGTGCCCAAGAACAGGTGTAACCATTGCCCAAACCACGAGACACAAGCCGTGCGGCTGAATGTGGTTTCAGGGGCTCCTCCCCCTTCGCTCTGTAGAGAAACACGTTCAATCGCACGGCTTGTGTCTCGTAGTTCGGGCTGGGTGAGTTCCTGATGTGCACTCACAGCAATGGTTACAGTATATCTGCTCTTGGGCACGTATGACTTACAGGCTTGCTTTATGTTGCTCTTGTGAGTATAATCTATTCTTTCCTTTTACACACAATAAAGGATTATTGCACCAGAGAGGTGCTTTTCTTTGTGCTTATTCCTTATAGAATACCATGGTCTCTTTGACTGGTAAAGGGCTGTCACCTAGTGGGGGATTCAGATACTGCAAGTGAGATCTGACAGTGATGCTTTTGCGCTGGTGGACGTTTTTACACATATTTACTTGATGTGGGTTCAGATATACTTTAAGTAGGCGGAGTACACTTCTTCATTCCACTCTTCATTTGCTAGCACATCACCTGACCTAAGTCAGCTCCAGATTGACTTCCAGCTCAGCTAATGTGTCCATAGAAAACAAACCTTCTTCCTCCTCTTCTGCCAGTGCCAGTCCTTATTCCAAGCTAAGGTATTAAAAGTGGGATGCTAGGATTTTCTGCTAAGAATCGGGACCATTATACAGAAATCAGGATAGTTGGGGAACTGAGCTTTTAGAAACAATTCTTTAGTATCAATTATGGAGAATAGCATAAAAGGTTGGCTTTGTTACATGGCCAGTGCAGCAGAGAGAATGATCTTTTTCTGTTATCAGTTAGAGAACTGTCTCTGTGTAACTTCATTGCGTTATGGTTTTTATGGTTCTGGTGATGCACCGATACCGATACTAGTAATGCTCAAATGCTCCGATACCTTCCCCCATACCGGAATTTCCGGTCAGAGGAAGATTTCCTCTGACCGACAGTGTCGTAGGGGAACATGGAGCCAGCTTCCTGGGCAATCAGCATTGAGCCGGCCGAAACAGCCAGGGCCCTCGCTGATTGGCCGGCGAAGCCGGCTTCCTAGCCAATCAGCATCCAGCTGGCCGAACAGCCGTCTCCTTGCTGATTGGCCAGCGCAGCCGGCTTACCGGCCAATCAGCATGAAGCCGGCCAATCAGCAGGGAGCCGGCTTCTCGGGCAATCAGGAAGCCGGCTTCCCGGGCAATCAGGAAGCGGGGCGGCATGTCATTACTCGATATCGGCAAGTACCGAAACCAAAATATCAGTACTCGTACTTGATACCAAAAAAAAACGTATCGGTGCATCCCTAGTTTTTACAGTGCGTGTTCTGTGAATACAAATAAATTTTGTGTTTTTATACAGCCCTAACAGATATTTGCCAGGACCGCACGTTATTCCTGGATACTACCCTCAGTACTCTTCACAATATCCTGATGGCTATCAGTACTACACTGAGGCAGGATCACGGCCTGACAGCATTTGCTCTATGTCTGCTTTTGATAGAGACATACCACGGTGGGCCGTGGAGGACAGGCAACAGATGTTCCACAGTAGGCCATCATATGAGCCACGGGAGTGGAAGGACCCTGGTGTTTATGGACGTCCAGTAGAACTATGGGCTCCTCGCCCAGCTTTGTACTACCAGGAGGCTGATGCAGTTTGTGGATCTCTCCGTCGCCTCTCGCTACAGCCTCGTTCTCGCTCAGTACCACGCTCTCCAAGCCAGGGGACATACAGAACTCGTCAGAGAGTCTGTTCTCCTGTACGCTCCCCTAGTGCACGATTTGAACCTGGGTCTCGGGATGAGAGCTTTGGGGATCCATCTGCTTATACCATGAGACGTTCAATCAGTTCTCCAAAAGTGAGTATTTTACGAATCATTTAAACACATTGTATGCTGTTTTCAGTTACAGAAAATATGAGAAATTTTCCATATCCTGCAAATTACATTTAATAATGCCATATACTGGAAAAATGCATCCTGAAAAATTCATTAAATTTTCCAGCTAATTCGAAAAATGGGGAATGCAGTGGAATAATTAGCAATAATGTATACTCTTTGTCAGAATATAATACATTTGCTCTTTAAGCTTTAAGTTATTTCTGAGGTGTATGCCATTTGAACTTGTATATTGAACGATATAGGGCCTATTTTCTGTTTTCCTGCTGTAAAACATTTTAAATTGACAGGTTCATCTATGTGCTGCAGTTTAGCTAGTCTTTGATGGGAAGCTATAAAGGCCTGTTCACACATGTAGGTGTGTACCATAATCTTTGCCAGCCATCACCTTATCAATTTGTTATAGGTACAGTGAGTATAAACAAGGGGTAAATAAAAACTATAATGGTTTAGGGTCAATATTTTTTTTCAAGTTTATACATGTTTTAAACTAAGTTGTCGGATTTCTCTGTAGGATAGGTAGGATGATTCACTCCTGTGACTCATTTGCATGTGTAATTTCAGCTTGAGCTGTTAAATTTTGCAAACAGGCTTTCCCTTCATCATTCATGGAGAGACACAGCAGCATTCAAAGATCAGTGGTTTAATATTGACACCTGCAAGTGGAGGATGCTAGGTACAACAAAAGTGAAACCTAAGGTGTCAATCCAACTAGTGGCTTAGCGTATGCCAAAGGGTAGTTAAAAACACAACATGTGTCGTACATCTCTACCATACATGTACATTTCCCCACTTTTTATACTTTTAAAGACCCTGCAAATACAGAAAAAAACCTGTTGCTGTACTAGAAATAAATTCAGTGTTTAAACCCTTTTATGTGCTGACAACACAGCATTTTTTTGGACTAAGTGTTATCAGCCCTCCCAGTTGTCTTTTGCTAATGTACTTAACCACTCACACTCTTAGATCTCAACAACTGAAAGGCTAATAGTTCTGTAGTTCAAAATAAGAACTAGGAGTATGGTTGCCACCTGTCCAGGATTCACCCGGACAGTCCGGGTTTTGAATGCCGTGTCCGGGTTTCATGGCAGCAGAAACCCAGACACAAGATGTCAGGCAGAGAGGGGCAACCAAAATTAAGATAGGGGCTACTGGCCCCCCACTGAAAATAGTCTCAACTGTGATATTTACATATGAATGGGTGGCACTATTACATATGAATAAGCAACCCTAACTAGGAGGTGTCTTTGAGGTAGTACAAGATGTGTGCAGATGACACAGGTCAACAGTTTTTCTTATGCACAAGCAGATATCAAGCTTTAAATACTATATTAAACAAGTCTAAAGGGAGCAAAAAGGGTTAATTGTTAGAGTTTACATACACTTTAAAACCACGTCTGCTAGAGAGCTCCATTTTTTCCAGGTGTCCTGGGAGGAAGGTTCATCTTCCTCCCACTTCCTCTCATCTTCCTGTCACCTTTTTTGGTGTGTTTTTTTTTGTGGTGTCTTGTTTCTTCCTTTTGGCTGCTAACCTTCAAACAGCTGACTGGGTGACAGACTGTCCTAGAATTTTGTAGTCCCCATCGTAATAGCCCTGAATAAAATACAGCTGAGGTGCTTGCACCGGAGAATGCATATGACTGGTGATCTCTGACTGCCTGTCACAGTACTTCCCTCCATGCTTCAGACTCCAGACCATTTTTCAGGATACCAGACTGCAGTCCCAAGCCACCCCATATACTGCAGTTCTGGTGGGAGAGAGTGTGCTGGAGGTGGAAGTCTCTCCTTTGCTATCTGGCCAGATTTGTATGCAGCGGTCTTGTGGTAGTGATCTGTGGTAGAATTTCTTTGTAGCAGCTGCTATTTGACATCAGAGCTGCCCATCTCTGCACCCACATCTGGCACACCATTGCTGTTTTTGGAGACCTCCTTGTCCTCTTCAACCCTAGAAATATTTAATACTTCCTATGTGCTCTGAGTCCAGAGCACATAGGAAGCATCCTCTGCTTACTCCTTGCCTTCAGAAAATTCTGATGGGGAGCTCCCAAACCACTCAAGATATTGACATGAAGGTACCTTTGGAAATGGCAGTTCACCTCACCCCTGAATGATGATGAGAAGTCATTGGCTACCTTAGAGAGGTGTGTGATGCTGGTGTGTGATGCTGCCCTAATTACCATGGTTTGGGTGACCCTTAACTTGGAAGACTCGCCTGCCCACGAGCAGAAGTCTGCTCTAGTTTTCAGAACACACAAGTGTAAATGTTCATATAAAGTATTCTCATATTACCCATTCTTTGACAAGTTCATTTAGAAGACATGAAAGATAATCATTTGATTTTCTGAAGTGTTTCTCTGTCTGTTATATTTTCACAGAGGATTTTGTTAAGGAATAGGTGATTCCATTTGTGGTGCATTGTCTTGTGTCTTGACTGAATAAGGCCGCAGTTATCTCAGCAAAAGAGTCCCCCTACATTAAATACCTATCTGGTGCTAGGTGTATGCAAGTGGAACACTGATCTGACCAATGTTGGCTTAGGTATTGGTGTCACAGACAACCACCAATTGGACAAAGTAAAGGATGGAGTTCTGTCACTCCTCTTAACAGATCCAGTCTCAGTACTTTTGTAACACTTCTTTGCCTCGAACACCTGAGAGACTGTTGAACTTGTCGCATTGGAGAGGTTCAGAGGTTTTAATTCAGACCTCTTTAACGTCCTCAAGAAAGTCAGAGATCGTCCAATTCTGGGCCTAAAAGTGCTCAATGCCCTTGTAAAGGTGCTGAAATTCCGTATTGAGTATCTTCACCAAGTGGTTGTGTCTCTCCATCAGGGGGACTCTATCAACATTATGGACGTGCAAGTCCACATTCAGATCTTCCACAGACACTAGTGGTTTCCGCATTTTGTGATGGGGAAAGATCACTGCAAGTTTGTGGCACTCCCTTTTAGCCTAGCATTGGCTCTAAGAGTGTTCATGAAAGTGGTAGCTCTTTTGTAGCACAGGGAGATGCTGCTGAACCCCTGGTGAAAAAGCTCTGGGTGTTGACATCTGGAAAGTGCTTTCTTCCACTTCAGTAAAAGATTGTGACAATGGATGTAAGCTTTACAGCTGGGGAGGTGGGGACCCTGATGGTGCAGGATCAGTGCATGACAGAGGATGCCTGGTTACCTACCATAACCTTGATTGACTTGAGTATTACTCCTTTACTGGAAGGATCACCTCAGAACTCACCTGGTGAGAGTACAGTCAGACAATGCCACAGGCATTTTTCAGTCATCAAGGGGGTGCTGGCTTTCTGCCCAGTGTACTTTACAGACATTGAAAACAGGCAGGTGGACTACCTCAGATCCTGCATCCTAGATAGTGGCCATTACAACAGAGTGTATTTTGACAGATCTGCCTTTGGTGGAGGATGAGAGACATGGAGGTGATGGCATCCTGATGCAGCAGAAAGTTGGGTTCATCGCATGACACGAGACTCATTGACAAGTGTTGACAGATGCTTTTGTTGCTTTGTGGAATTAGCATGATCTGTGTGTTCCCTCTGCTGAAGCTTCTGCATGGCTGCTTCACAGCATAGCATTGGAAGTTATCTCTATCATTTTCATGTTTCCCAATTGTCTTATGAGGGCATGGTACACTAACCTGATCCATAAACTGACAGGTGCCAGTGGACTTGGAAGGCATAATTTGGCTGGTGAGAATCTTTGGGAGTTCACCTCCATTATTTTTGGTTGGTAGGGTTATGTCTTTCTTACAGCAGGGGGTGGATTAATATGTGGTGTTCAGTAGAAATAGGGTACAGATTTCTATTTATAGAAAAGTGGGCAACAATCCTCAAATAATCATTTACTTAATAAAAATATTATTCTCTTCCTTATTTTTCTTTTTTTTCGATCCTGGGTGTAACTCCTTCAAAATATAAAAAAAGCAGCAAATACACTCTAAATGGAGATCCCAAGGAAGAAAACTTTCCATATACATAAAATGTTTAAAAATGTTTAGTATTTATTATTCAACATAATTAATATATAAAACAAAAATAACAGACAAAACTATATCCCCCATAAAGCAAACAACAATATATGATCATGATATCCGTATTAATTTGACATAATCATATGCTAATAAAAGATATCTATTGCACATATTGACCTGACATAACGAAGCATCGGATATCAGGTCAAGACCATCACCCTTGACGCGTTTCATTCCCTTCAGGAACTTCTTCAAACATTCTCCAAATTTCTTCCTCTTTTATCCTGTGCAGCAACACAAGAGAGACCCCTCCCTTTCCTGTCCACACGGGAACACGTCAGGACAGAAAGTCAAACTTGCACTCCACAGTGGAACACAATCCACACTTTTTCAGCATTCCTTGGTCAGCCACTCCCTAGTATGTAGTTTCATTCAGGGGAATGACTCGTGCTTCTCCACCTGCTAGTCCACCTGTTGCTTCCTGCTACCTCAATTTGGACTTTCAGATTTTGCAGAGACCTGCATTCTAAATTTATCTGGATATTGGATATTCCCTTGCTAACTTTGTCGTAGAAGGTAGCCTTCGTGGTGGCTATCACATCAGCACGGCAGGTCCTGGTTGGTGGCCCACAAGGATATATATTCCCCAAAAGGATAATGTGAATTTACCTCCGAAACTGAACTTTATGCTGAAGGTGGTTTTCTCATTTTATCCTTAGTTGAGGTTGAGGAGTGGGTTCATACTTCACTCAGTCTGTCTCTAGTGCACCTTAAGTCAGTTCTTTTTCACTCTGTCCGTCCTTGTTTCACTCCAAGGAAATTGCTCTGTATTTCATGGATGTGGTCTGGACTATCAGAGAATATTTATATGCTACTTCTTCCTTTTGGAACACTGATTCTTTGTGATCCTGAAGGGACCTTGCAAGGGTATGGTGGCTTTGGTCTCTTCTATTTCCCAGTGGATATGGCAGATTATGTCTCATGTTTATGCCTTGAGACATAAGAAAATGACCTTTCCTGTCCGGCCTCAGTGTCTCATCTCTGTAAGGTCTGTCTTACATTTGTGAGGTGGCAACCTAGTCATCTGTGCATATATTTACCAAGGTTTATAACATTGATGTGGCTGCATTGGTGGATGCCTACTTGTAACTGCCCCACTGGTACTAGAATTCTGTTGTGTCCTTCGATAGAAAAAATTGGATTTCTGTACTTATCATAACATTTTCTATTGTTTCCTGGAGAGTCTCAGCTCCCAGCCCTTTGGTTGTGTTTGGCTTATTGCATTTGTTGGGAGTTGGTTTATACTCCTAGTGCTGTGTGCTACTAATTGGAGCTCTCTGGAGGAGGTAGGGTTTACCCACTAAGTGGACTGTCCTCTTCAGTTGCCTTCTTGTTGCACCTAACATCCTCCTATTGCATGTGTCAATATAAACCTATTGGCTCTTCAATGCTGCTGCGTTTCTCCACAAGTTAAAGAAAATAATTTTACAGTGAGTTCAAAACTGTTTTTTTTGGAAGAAAAGTCAACATTGGCTTGTTAAACATGTGAAAAGGAGCCTGGGGATCTCAGAAATAGGAAAAAAAATAGGTAAATAGTTGCAGTTAATATTCACCAGAAAAAATATCTATATCTTTGTTCTAAATATAATATAGAAAATAAATACAAAATTGCTGTAGATCTTCATAAAATCCCTCAGCAGTAGTGATGAGCCAAACATACCCAGGTTAGTTTTGTGGCAGACCCTGCGAACTTTACCTAAGTCGGATGCCAAATCCAAACCCCATTGAAGTCAATAGGAGCCAAATCTTAAAAATCATTAATGGACATAACAGTTGAATGGGCCAGGAGTGGATGGCTCCCTAACAACCAGCCTGAGGGAAGCTGTCACATTTTGCAGTGATAGTATCACTTTCACTGCAGTCAGAGATCTACTTGGCCAAACACCCATTTAATTTGGCGGTTTTCTGAACCTCCCAACAAGCTTAATTCGGTCTGAACATGGTTTCAGACCAAACCCAGAGCTCATCCATACTCAACAGCATAAGATTAACGTCTCTTATTAGATTCCAAGCTATCTGTACACAAAATATTATTATTTTTTCTTTTACATTGGAGAAAAGTAAGGAATTAGGTAAATTATATACCTAGAGAGGTTATATGTTAAGGTGTCTATCTTTTTAGAATGCAGGGGCTAGACATTTTTGATCTCTTCAGCATAATTTCAGTCTTCTTGCCAAGGGCATTGCATTTCATCTCTCCTTAGTGAAAAGTATTCTGTACTTTGGTACAGGTTGTATTTAAAAAAAGTCCCCAACCCCTGAGTGCAGGCAGCCTGAGCTTAGTTATAAAGAGGGTTTTAGCCCTAACCTTACTGCCGACATGGACCTTTTGTCTGCGCATGGGCGCCGCAGCCCCATTTCTATGGGGAGATCATTACTCTGTGCAAGCGCTCTAAACTGTCATTATTAACTCTACCCATAGTTACGAATGGGGCTTCAGTGCACAGAACAAAGAGTTGGCTAAGGCCACGTCGACCATAAGATCGCTGGATCTGGGCTGTATTTAAGTATAAGGCCAGGATGACTGCAATTAGGCACATGGGGGACCTTATTAAAGAAAAACTTCATCAAAGGTGAAGCAGTCCCTTAAAAAAGAACTCCAGGATTTTTTCAAATTAACCCTTGCAGTGGAACTACCTCCTCAATGCAAGGGTTAAGTGCTCGTTTTGGTTTAGGGCCGAAAATAAATTAACCCCACTGCAAGGGTTAAAAAAAATGGAGATCTTTACTCAAAGTGCTTACCCTATTGATATTTTTCTTCAAACTACACACAGTGTTAACAACTACTACTACTACTACTACTACTACTACTACTACTACTACTACTATATATTATACTACATGTGATCAGAAACTCACAACAAATATTTTACTCTAAAAGGATAGAAATAGATTCAAATTTTGATTGTATGCTTCAATGTATAAGCACATATTTTATTTGCCCCTGAGAAAGGGTAAATTAATTGAAATCTATAAAATCTTCAATTTCTTTATTTAGTATGATTATTTAGGAGACAGACGCCCTCTGCCTGCAGGAGTTTACTCTTACAGCTACCCAGCTTCCCCACCTCTGCATGACAAAATGGTAAGTTTTTGATTTGGATTATAGGAGGAAAGCATTTAGATACAGTTCTTTAGATATCTGTAAACTGTTTTGTTTTTTTCTTGTATAATTTTACTCTGTGTAACACTGTAGCCCCTATTGTCTGGTTCTTGTCTGTTATATATGGATTTTGTGCTAACATTGGCTTGATTTACTAAAAGAGTAGATGCTGCTCACCTCGGAAGTCAACGCTTGGTTTGCAAAGTATATGGTCATTTTGCTAAATTAATCTTATTGAATAATGTGATTACTGAACACCCAAACATGTGTGAACCAATTAAAAAAATAGGCTTTCTGAATAGTATATAACAGGACACAGAATTGTATTGTTAGACCGCTGGGTTATACTGCCATCTTCTGGAGATTGGACTCTGGCAAAGCTGTAAAGAACAGCTCCCAGCAAGTCTCAGTGTTTTGCGACTGTCCTGAGGAGATTGATATTTTTCTTTCTGCTCTGAGAGAATCTAACCTTTTTTCCTTTATACATCAGATTTTGTTGTACATACTTTTCCCTACAATCAGGATTGTTAGCTGCTACAAAGCCAATGTTAGCAACTTATGGATTAGCACTCCCCAGCTGAGTCTGGAGAACTGCCTTTTTCGGATTGAACATACACTTTCCTTAATTAATGACCTTGACTCCTTTAGTAAATCAACACCAGTATCTCATCATTGCAGTAATATGCAAAACTGAATATTACCTAAGAGTCTATATCATGGGGTTTTGTTAAAATGTTTTTATATAAGTAATAGTTTTTTTAGATGTGTACACATTCATGTGGACAGACATGTTAGTTCCCTTTAGTGATAGCTATAAAACGTTTGCTATTGTAGAATGTTCTGACATGGCTACTTGTGCTGTCCAGGAAGAAGAAAATAAATGTATTCAGTGTATCGTGTTATCTCATAGTTATGCTGTTTATTTGTATACCATATATACAATTGGGTTAACAGAAGGGTTCTCTTATGACGTTTGTTATTCCAGCAGAACCCCAGGATTTTTTGTATTAACCCTTGCTACCCCTACACTGCAGGGGTTAAGTGCTCATTTCTATCTAGTTGCTAAGATAAAAAAAGATTTACTCACCCAAAGTTCTGAGCTGGCCAGCTGTCATGGCATTCTCTACAGCCTATCCGCTCCGCAGCAGATTGAAATGTTCCTCAGTATCCTCACATCTATGCACAGTGTATAGATGTGATGATTTGCTGGACCTTAGACCGCTGCAGAGGAGCGGGAGAGTTTGGGTGAGTAAATCTTTGTTTTTTGTTTTTTTTAACCTAAACACAAAGTAGCAGTTAACCTTTGCAGGACACTGCTGTCGTTTGCTTGAATGTTTACATCAATTTCGCCCACATTCAGGGACATGACCTGGGTCATGGTGCCTGGTTCTCCCCCCCTCCCCCTGCCATACCAGGCCGCATGCCCGCATTGGGATTGTGCTTTTCCAGGGGAATAAATATGGTGAACATATTTCTGGGAATTCTCTGTGAATAAATATGGTGAACAGATTATGTGGATTGGACCAACATTCACCATATTTATTCTCAGAGAATTTTTGTGCAAGTCATTCTGAATTGAGAAAGCTGGTTGGATGACCAGCGAAACATCTTCAAGAAAAATACAAGTCCAGTTGCCTTGACTTATTTTTTTACATATATACCATGACCTGGATGAATGAGAACCTTCACAGACATATTGCCAAATGTGCCTACATGCTAGTAATAAAAGTCCATTCCTATTTTTAAGCAATGATGAAAGTGATTTTCAAATTAATTCCTGCCATGTTATTTGTAAAATTACTACTAAGCATGTTTAAGGGCCATATGTCTTAAAACAGATTTTTCCCAAAGTCGGTTTTGTATCACCAGCATCTTATTTTTTATAACATAATTAGGTGAATGCAAGTTAAAAGAGAACTATGGGGTAAGTGTTTTTCCCCATAGTTCTCTTAAGGGTCACTGGAGGACATATACTAGCTTCCTCCCGTGAACCAAAGCTCAGAATATCGCGAGCTACAGCTTGCGGTATACTGAGACCACCGCAGCCAGGACAGATCCCGACATTACTGTCGATCGACCCAACTGTGTGAATGACAACTGGCTCTGCCTATCTAGAAATGGGGCTGCCTATTTTTGATCGGTACTCACCTCTCCACCGGCTTCCGGGTCTTCCGGGAGTCCCGTCGCAGATCCGGTGACGTCACGGACATCGACGTCACCGGACTCCTCCCCCCATCCGCAAGTGGCTCTGTAAGCTAACGAAGGGAAGGGGGAGGAGTCCGGTGACGTTGATGTCCGTGACGTCACTGGACTCCTCCCCCCTTACCTTTGTTAGCCGACGAAGAGAAGATTCCGAAGTGTCACATGACCACAAATTTAGATAAGTAAAAGGGGCTTTTAGGTAGGTTTTTTTTTTTTAACTAAACCCAGCAATTAGTTAGTGGGGGTATGAGTTAAAGGGTGGTTGTATGTGATGGGGACGGGTGTCCCAGAAATCAGCTTAAATAGCATCAGGGAAAATTGCTGGAAATGTATTTCTTTTTTTAAATATTGAAATGAACATGACAGCATGGCTTGCCAAATTTATTTCTATTATGACAAAGCCCTGTGTCATTACTGTACCCAAATTCAGTGCTCCAGTTCCAGCAAAAAAAGACACACCAGCCCAAACAATGTCATCATTAAACTTTTACTGAAATATCAAAAAGATAATGTTTATAACACAATCCTATTCATAAAAATTCTGCATAGCTCAGTGACTCATGCTATGCTAAATTTAACTCTTCTCCCATGGACCCCATGTATAGGCCAATGTAGTTGGATCTGTATGTGCGTAATAATTAATCGAAATTAATCGATTAAAAAAAATTTGATTAATCAAACACGAAAATTTTAATCATTACCAGCTTTAGAAAATTTCTATCCAATACTTACTGTGATTTTTATTTCCTGACTAATTTCATGGCAGCATATGATTGCGTATTCTCCACCTCCTGAATACCCAATAGATCTTTTAATAAAACCCACTTATTAGCTTACCTTAGTGTTCTATGACTAGTGTATTCCTGGCACATGGGTGCTGCCATGGAGTGAGTCAGGAAAAAAAAAAAAAAGATGGTAGGTATTGGATAGGGTTTTTTCTTATTGTTGATTATTATATGGCAGCATATGAGGAACAACAGGAGGGTGCCAAAAAACATGAAAGCTGATTACATGAAGAGGTGGATACCAAAACTGAACATCTAAAGACTACTGTTGTTAAAAAAGGCAGTTTGACCCTATAGTGTGAAAGGAAAGTTTGAGGCAACAACTAAGAGGCTGCTTTACAAACTGTATCCAAGGATACCGTGGAAGCCGAAGCCCTTGTCATAAATGTGTATCTGTTAGGGTGTGTGGTGACCCCATCCGGTACTGAAAAGCACTGTTCCTTTTAAGCATCATTGACTACCCGCACAATCCATCCCGCTATCATCCTAGTAGATACTTCTCTACCTTTATTTTTCCCTAAAGGGATGATAATAGTCTTTCCATTTTCTCCACGGAACCTGTGACTCAAATGTACTGTTTTTAGATTTGACCATAGTCCAGGTTATGAGGACCATCCACCTCTGCATTTTAATTAGAAGGTAGGACTATTTCCTGATTATTTTGATAGACCATGGCCACTTTGGGAACAAAGAAAAAAATAGGTCTGAGTGCTATTTTGTATGAAATTAAAAAAAAAAGAAAGTTAGTGAGGGGTTTTTGAGTCGCCCTATGTTGGAAATATGACAACAACCGTGTAAAAATTACAACATTTTATTGATGCATCTCGTTAAAATCGTATTTAGTTAAAAACAAACAGAACCACGTCATAACCTTCTCATTTGGATGACATAGGCGATAATAAGACAGCCAAATAGAAAAATTTGGGACAATGAGAGAATTGTGCCAGAGACATTGTGGATACTCAGAAGTCCTTTGACGACACTGTGCTGCCTTCACTGGGGAAAGCATGCTTGTGTTCAACAGTACTGAATTGAATTAGATGAGTGATGCCCCACATGCTCATAAGGATCCTTCAGCGGCCCAGGCTATCTCCTGTGAAGTGTCACGGGATTCACTCCCGCGTTCCACAGTGGCATGCCCTACCATTCCTTTATCAATGGGAAACCGCAAGGAATGGGTCCCTCTTCTAATGGCACTGTACAAAGTGGATTCCTAGTGCCTACCCCAGATTCCCCTATTCCCTATTGGACACACAGATACAGAAACTTCACCAGGAAGGTGCCTGACCTGGTGGTCCACCATTGATTTACACAGTTGAGCAGGAGGATCGGCCAGAATCATACTATGGACAGGAGAACAGAAAATGACCACTGTGGTAACCTATTATGTGGAAATTATTAAAAAATGTGTCCTATAGGGAATTCTGAGGGCAGAGGCTACCCACTGATATGCTGCCATAGAATGGTCAGGAAATAGGGATTTTCGTGGTATGATAGCAAAATGTTCTGAAACAGTTATATCAAAAAATCCTTTTATTTAACATCAATAAAATGACTTCTGTAGGGTCACAAATACATATTGAAATGAAAGCAAAGCAGGTCAAATGCAGCCTCTTTTTGTCAAATGCATTGTTTTCTATTTTAACACAGCTGCATGCGTTCAAATGGAAAATGCAGCATTTGACTAGAACGCCCCTCTACATATTCCCTTAGGCTTCATTCACACCTAATGTTAAGGTGTGTTTTGAGATTCCTGTGGCAGGAACCTACAAATTCCTGCAGCAGGAATCCCAAATATGCCGTTTAGAAGCAGCCGCTGTCACCCGTTCAAGTTCGCCAGCACTCCGCATGTAATCGTATGTGATACGATTTCATGCAGCTAGGAAGTTGAGAAGCTAGGAAGGAAGAAGCAGCGTAGTGGCAGTCAACCACTGCTGTCACCTTTTCATTAATTGTAATGGGTGACAGCGGCTTTATTTGGGATTGGGATGCAAGAATTTGTATGTTCTTTCCGCAGGGATCTCAAAACGCACCTTAACATGAGTGCTTAACTCTGACCTGGGAACCCTGTCAACACGGTGCCAGAGCATCAACGGCTCAGTCTGATGAGAGTGCAGAAAGAGACACAAGAAGGAAGGACTGCAAAGAGAAAGAAGAGATGGTTTAGGGAGCAAAAAAAAACTGTCACTTTTTCTTGTTCTACAAATTCCTAAATATTTTGGTCTAGGTGCCCAGAAGTGCCTTGGGTATTTTAGGAACACTCTTGCTCATATTTACCTAAAGTAATATAGTTATCTATTTGTGCAGTGAATGGGAGTGTATTAGTGTGTTATGTAGATTATTACTGGTCCCATGTCATTAACATTTGGGTAGAAACTGGGGATCGGATGGCAATTTACCATGTCCTGGGTTACCCCAAGAGGAAGTTCAGTGGAGGTGTTCAGCAAAGTTAAGGGAGCTAAAAAGGCTGCCTTATAGTAGTTAGTGAGGTAGGAGACCACCAAACCTAGTTTATACATTGATTTTGTTTAAGAGTATTGGTGTTTTTATAGATGAAATATTTATTAAAGATCGAATAATTGTTTAACATTTGGGTCAGTTAATGTTGGCCTTAAAAGCCCCTTCCTTCCTTTTTGGTTGAGATTGGGAATTATCAAGTTAATTATCCAGTCAAATCCAACAAATACAACTGGGGTGTGGCCAACCGGTCCTCCCTTCACTGAAACCCAGGGTAATATGTATCTACAGACCTCTAATAAACATTTCTATTAACCCCCTGGCATCTGGAGAAAATTTGCTGATTAGGTCCAGCCTTCATCACAGGGCTAACCTAACAAATTGCTTCTTGGTTGGTAGTTCTATCTAATAATTATATCAATAATGAATGTTGTTAATGATGATGGTAATATGACGTATAAATCCATGCTCTTCACATCACCCTCCTCATCATCTTTTGTGTTATGATTAGAATTCTGTTACATTCTGCATGGATATCATGTGTCATATGTTATAAGATCTGTGTAAAATGTAGTGTGATTGTTTTGTTTCAATACTCTGCATTGCATGATACTTTTCCTTCTCTGCTTAAGCATGAATCTCTGCAACTTGCTGGATTTAGGGCCCATTCACACTGATGAAAACCGTTGACACACACTGTATCGTGCAACGCACCTAACGTGCATTAACAATGCGGGAGCAGGCACTACTTTTAATTGCAACGCAGTGCACAGTATTGTGTTTCAGCGCAATTGAGTGCATTGCGGGCAAATGGGCGTTTGCAGTGCCATTCCAATGACTGACAACATAACTCACCTCCTGCAATGTTAACGCACGGTAGGTGTGCTGCACTGTGCTGTGCATTAATCAGATGAAACCCTGTGATTAACGCATTATGCCAGTGTGAATGGGCCCTTAGGGTCCTCCAGCTCTTGTGTAGGACTAGCTGTTTTGTCACCAGTTGTTTGGATAGAAGTTCACTGCTTGCCTTGCGCTTTGCTTTCCATTTTTAATACTTGTTTGTTTCCTGCTGCTGCTTCCCCTTACCCACAGGATGAAATTTTAGATCTGCAGTTACAGAGGCACCTTGATTTTTTGGATCAGCAGGTATGATGTCAGAGCTGCATTCCATCATTTTTTTTACCCTATGTGACTATACTTTTGTCACATATAATGATATTTCACCCCATTCATAATAACTGATTATGTGTTCTAGAATAAATCACTTGTAAAAGTCCACTGGAATAATATGATCTGTAAGATCAGCTCTAGTCGGGAAAAATTAGAACTCTGTGTTTTATTTATTTATTTATTGCTGTCTGTGTTATCATGTCAGGGTAACCCCTTCTCTGCAATTTGTCTTACTTTTGGTGTCATAGGCTAATAGAGAAAATCTACTCAGTGGAGTCAGACATCAATTAAAACCTTTAGTGCTTTCCCACTTCATAAAAAAAAAATGTTTTCACTGGAGTTGGGCTTTAAAACTTTAAGACCATGTAAAAGTGATATTTTAACTTTATGTGAATCACCCACTGCATTGTTGTCTCTTGAGGGCTTCAGGATCTGAGCTCCATGTAATTGAGATACCATTTCCACCTATTGACTGCAGCCATTAAGAACATGTCTCACTCTTGGTGTTAGAGGCCCTGATTATTAATTTATGTAACCTTATTGAGTTGTAAGGAACCCCTAAATGCAGCAGAACAAGCTGAAAGTAGGCTTCCCGCATTACCTGCCAGGTGCCTTGGAATAGTACTGAGCAGAAAGGTCCTCCTAAACCACAGTCTTTGCTCTGCTTCAGTGTTCTGAGCCATAGTTGTTGAAGTCATTTACATTCCAACTCTAGCCCCATATTTGAATTATGTTACTTACCTTCTTCTTGTGCAGTTATTCTGCCTAAATGCCATCTTGAATATTTACTGCTTGCTTATGAACTTGCTTCTGCCTTTTGACGTGGTGCCTTATTTCAGCCTTCTACCTGCATGCCAGCTGTCAGCATTGAAACAAACCTGATGACCATTATTTGAGAGCATCATTTACTGAAACCCTTAACTGCTTGTGAATGTTTCAGGTGAAGGCTAGATGTTCCTTAGGCTCTGATACTCAGGGAAGCCCACACTTGGTGTTGGTGGCACAAAGGATCTACTTTAATGTTGTAGCATAACTATAGTCATAGCAGCCCATGCAGCTGCGGCCTGAGGATGGGAACGTTTTCTGATGTCACCATTGCAGAAGAGCTGAGGTCAGATGCACAGGGGTATGCTTTGGGATCATTCTGTTGCTAGTGACTGATCTCTTGTGCATTCTCCCCCCTTATGTGAGTAAATTTACTGCCTTCGGAGCTTCTGCTAATCCTGACCAGCTCTTTGTTATTAACCCTGTATGTCTAACACAGTTTTCTTGAGGCTGAATATTTCCTGAGTGTCTTCTCAGCTTAAAAGTGATGACATTTGAAACATTTGTAATTATAAAAAAAAAAAGAGCCACAGGTTAAAAAGTGGTGCGTTTACAGTGTAATTGTGCATAGAAGCACTAACAATTATATCAATATATATATATATATATAGATCTATCTATATATATATGTGTGTGTGTGTGTGTGTGTGTGTACTGTTAAACACGTGCTGGCTGGGAAGGTAAAAGGGGTGGGATAGCTTAGAATTTTCACCAAAGTCCTAAGATTATATACTCCAACAGAGATCAGTTGATGCTGAAAAATACTGGTGAGTTACTGTATAGCTAGCTGGAGAATCAAGGAAAAAAATTAATTCCATGCACTGCTGATATTTTCAGACAACTTTTATTCACAGTATTGGGCCCTAGAAGTGTACTGAATAGGTTTACAGTTTTCCAGCTGCCTGTCTTCAATTTGGACATACTTTATGTTAGGATCAATAACAATCTTGTTCCAGTTGCCAGATATAACAGAAATAGATCATTGGGGGAGCCCTCGGCACACCTCACAACAGTCCCGGCCAGGTAAGAAAGGATGGTGCTCGCAGTGATATTGGTTCACGGATGGCGCCGTGCAGACACAGAAAAAGCAGGGAATCACCAGCACTCAGTAATGAAAGCAAATTTGTCCTTTTATTGGACAGAGGCGTCATAGAAATCAAAAGAACCGACGTTTCGGGGCCGCACAGGGTCACTTCCTCAAGGCAGAAAACATGAAGGGACCCGGTGCGGCCCCGAAACGTCGGTTCTTTTGATTTCTATGACGCCTCTGTCCAATAAAAGGACAAATTTGCTTTCATTACTGAGTGCAGGTATAACAGAAAGAGGTCACTTGGGGGCCCATTAAAATTTTACTATAGGGCCCCATTGAGTGTAGTTACACCCCTACTTTAATCCATAATGGTGTGCTTAGGTCATAGATCTTGCTAATATCTCTCTGCCTGAGTTTACGGAAGACTATGTAATTTACATATTTTGGTGGCTTGTGCATGATGATGTCAGAGAGCTGCAACTGGCCAGGCAGTGAAGTGAAGCAGCTTAGTGGGGCAGTTTGCTAGTTTGCTTGGAGAGGAGGAAGCCTATGGGAGCAAGACATAAGGTAAGTATTTGTACTCATTCATTTTCCCCCCTAGGAACTCTACTGCATTGGTAAGCTTAAAGGGCTTTAAAGTCTATCTAATCCCAAAAATGAAATATTTTTGCACCTTAAATTTGGTGACTGCTTTAGTTTCACCTTTCCTTTATTTTCATGTGATAAACCTGGCAGTAACCCTGTAGATATCCCAACGGACTCCTGGCCGGTATACCCCTTATAGAATGGTGCCGAGCTGTGAATCCAAGAAGTAATCACCAGTGTCTGGTGACATATTTTACTGCCAGTAACACATTTCCTCCCCTAAAATGACAACGCTCATTTGCTGCACTGTATAAAGGAACAGCATTGTCACCCTAAGCTGCTCTTCTGATTTGGACTACAAATGCCTCAACTTCTCTATTACATAGGGAGGAAATGCTCTGTTGTTCACAGAAGATAACTGGGAAAGCTAAGAACATTGGTTTATCATCTCAGTGCAAATTAATTTACATGATTAATTACATTCTGGCAAAATCAGTAGGTATTTATATGTACTTGAAGAACATGTACTTAGCCTTAAAAATAAAATGTATGCAGCCACCACATTGAATGACTGGTAGATTTTAATATATAACATTTTTTATCTTGGGTTTAGATATCTTTTAAGTTACAGCTATGAAATCCTTTTGCATTTTTCCTTCAATGAATGCGCTGATTCACTTTACGTTACTGCTGGGATATTGTATATCAGACTGTGTCAAGGTAGACTGCACCTTTGCTACTTTCCAGGTCCTACAAAGTGTGATAAGTCTCTCAAACCATGGGACTGCTAGTCATGCAGTTAGTGTCAGAATTTGCTTGAAAGAACAAGCTTGTGGCTGTAGTTTTTGCCAGTGTTTGTTAAAACATATTAAAGATCAGCTGGATGGATGAGGCATTCTATTTGCCATGTATGTTTAGGGGACTATAGAAAACAGAGAGGAGATAACACTATCCACTCACTGCTGGACACCCCAGTGTTTTCTCCACATTGTGCTTCCATTTTATGAGTAATTTATAAAGTTTTGCACAGTAATAAAAGTAACAGCGGGCAACATGGGGTGTCTGCTCTTACATGGCAAAATTACTTCAAAACTTTAAAATGGAGAACAATTTAATTTAACCCAAGCATTCAAGATTATGCCTTGACTAGCAATAAATTTGCAACATCATCTGTAGCTACCCACAACATAGCACACATATTGCAGATGTCAAGACTAGAGCTGCAACAATTAATCGATTTAGTCGATTAAAATCGACGATTGAAAACATCCAGTGTATGGGTGTGAAGCGGTGGAACAGGTGTATGAAGGTGCAGCGAGGAACAGGTGTATTGGCGTGCAATGGTGAACTATGTAACATGCAACATAGTGTTTAGAGTTCAGCAGTGTGGACTATATAGCGTATAGAGTTTAGTGATCAGAACTATTTAGTACATAGAGTGCACTAGTAACGACTATGTAGTGTACAACAGTGAGTATACAGTGCAGCAATCGAAGTGCATGGGTCAATGCAAGGTCCTCCTATACTGTCTGGGCCCTATTCCCCTGTATAAATCACTAGCAGGTAGTAGCAAAATGTACCTGTGAAGAGAAAAGTTAGAACTATACTTGCCTTAGCCCTCGAATTCCACCCGCAACAGCTAGGCAAGTGTGATATCACACTCCTTCAAACTAGATCCTGGGTATTACAGAGCAGCCAAAGAAGCTCTTTCAATGGACTGGGGTGTCTTCTCATGGGATTGTGTCTGCTCTGTGCTACCCTGTGTCTTCACAGGAGGACAGTGATGTCATGCCCAGTGATGTGGAAGACTACAGTGAGGGAGGTATAAATCACAGATAGCATTGTGGATGTACTTTCTGCTAGTGATTTATACAAGGTGAGAGTGCCTGGACATTTAACTGCAAAGTCCGCTTTAAATATTTCTGGTCAGCGGTCTTTTCTCCCATTGCTGGTCAGAGGTATATGCTCCTCATTTGTGGTCAGTGGTCTGTGCCCTTCACTGGTGGTCAGTAATCTAAGCCCCTGATTGGTGGTCAGCAATCTGTGCTCCTTGTTAGTGGTCAGTGGTCTGTGCCCCTTATTTTTAGCCAGTGGTCTGGTGCTCTGCTATCATTGGTGGAAGCAGTGTTTACTTACATAAGAAATGCTGCACAGGACCCGGCCAGCATCCTCTTAGCTCTTCGGTCTCTGGGAACTTCTGAGACTAACATTGGTTTGGAACTATACAGACAGCATTAGACTGGATATCCTACGCCCAGCCCAGGCCTGCCTGCATACAACATAGTAAGTCACTCTGACAGGGAAACTTGCTTTGTAATGTATCTCTAGAACAGGGTATGTGTGATACCTATGATGACAAGGGTAGAAGCCAATTTTACTGTCTAGCCGAAGGAAGCTGTACAGCTCTTTTATAGAATACAATTTCCTTGGTTTTGGAGCTCCTAAGGTGTTAATTTTCTCGTCCATTTTCCTAGAGATAGATAATTCATCTTTACATGTTGGAGCTGTTCTGTCATAGTTACTCCACCAGAATCCACAGTTCTTTCCCTAAAAATGTATTGCAGCTGGAAAAAATTATTACTTAAGCGGCAGTACATTTTTTCCCATCCAACTTCTACCTGAGGAAGCAGTGACTGCTATAAAGAATTGTCCTTTCAGTATATAAACTATATATATATATTACCCCAGTAATCCCCAGGAGTTGCACACAAGGCAAAGCCGAATCCTCACTCGGTCCACTGTACCTTTTGATTTATTTAGCATTTCAGCCTTTTCTTTCTTAATTTTTAAGCAGAGAAAACATGCAACGCCTGTCAATCTCGATGCAACCTATTTTTGTTTCTAAATGGAGTTAGTAACAAAATACAATTAAAGAGAAAGTGGGAGGGAATGAGCAAATAAATATATCCACTGCTGTTCCCATCATATCAATTTATATGCTCTTTCCCTCCAGTAGGCTCTTGAACATTGTGTCTCCTTACTAACAAGTTTTTCAAGTGTATGATCTTCATCTCCAACTAGTAGCCATAATGGGGTATTTTCCCCATTCACGCTCTATGAATATACCTATTGTAGAAAATTTGGCCAGAAGAGCAATTCCATTACATTTTGTTTTTGCCCCATTTTGACAACAGCTGGTTAACTCGCACAGAATGAATTTACATGCAGTTTTGCTGGACAAATAAGCTATGTGAGTTTTTTTTTTTTTATATATAAATAGTGTTTCTTCTCCTTTATCCCAATGAATGGAGAAAGCAGATCAACAGAGTAAGTTTCCTCTTACATTACATGGCAGCACACCTAGATGGAAACCTTTGTTGAAATGTGACCCCAGACCAGGGATAGGCAAGCTTGGCACTCCAGCTGTGGAAAAACAACAAGGCCCATCATGTGTCTGCCTCTGGAAGACATACCTGCAGCTGACAGAGTCTAGCAATGGCTCATGGTATGTGTAGCTTCACCACAGCTGGAGTGCCAAGGTTGATAATTATCTCACAATAACTATGCCAACAAGGTGTCAGGCTTGTCAGTGGTGTTCATTTTATTCAGACACTATAGAATTCCTCACTTCTTTAAAGCCATGTTCGAACAGACAGCTGCTGATACAGTTCAAGGTACTCTTGAGTAGTTTTCCAGAATGTATACTATTTAACTGATGGACTGAAAAGCTTGTGCAAGAACCTTGGAGAGAGAATCTGCTAAGAAGGGAGGTACTGTATGAACTGTTTTGCCCCAACCTCACACAAGCAACCAGCGCTTCTCTCTGTCACTGTCAATTGCTTACTATGCAGCAAAGAGCAAAAGGGTTTTTTTCTGGTCCTTCACTGGGTGCCAGTGTTATGAGTACACTTTAATTTTTTTGCTTTTGTTATTCTAATTCAGACATCAGCTTGCTTTCTGTATTTTGCTGTTTGTGTACACTTTCCATGTATGACTAAACGTGAATGTCTGATGTCTTGGGCATTGTTTGTGTTGAATAGCTCCCTTCTTATTGGTTGCCTTTGTTACAATTTTACCAAAATGTCTCCTACCCCATTCCATTTGTTGCCTACAGACATTGCTTCTTCTCTACAACTTGGTATTTCACCTTAATCTGCTTTTTGGATGACACTTGTCTCTAGTAGGACAAACCTGAGCACCACAATCTGTGTGTTTCATGCAGAGAAACCCATTCCTCCCTGTAGAGATTTATTGTAAAGACTAGATAATTCTTAGACTGTTCTAAAGCTGAGTGCTTACCTACAACTATTAAAACTATTAAAACAGAGAGTCAGAGAAAAAAATTATTAGACTGTGTAGGAGAGTGAGTGAAAATTCCTAATGGCTGCAGTTGGGGAATAGGAGTTGTCAGAAGAAAAGGGGGAAATCTTACTTTGTTCTCTTTAAGAAATACAAGAAGCCATTGATGTCCACCCAAACCTTCTAAACAAAAAAGTATACAAGCAGTACAGTGTGTTTAGCATCAATAGGGGAATCACCTGCAGGAAGCAATGGCTCTGGAAAACGTACTGTGCTGATACTCATGCCAATTGCTCTATAAATGGGATTAAAAAAAGAGTTGGTTGACATAAGATAAATTATGGGAACACTGATTGTAATTTTTCATGTATTAAGAGAATGCATGAAGTAATATTTATCTTTGCCACCCTCCCCCACCACTCCGTTTCAGCAGTCGCAAATACCTGATGCTTCCAAGTGTGGGGAAGCATGTGACTTCCACTCAGTATGATAATTGCCAGGCCCAAAACATTATCACTTCACAAGGAATATGATGCCATCAATCCTGTGCAATCTGCAACACCTTCAGAAGAGAGCTTACACAGGGTTTTGACGTCCAAAGGGGCAGGGTACTGCAACACAATTTAGTATAAGTGGATTGGTGGGTGAGCCAATAAGAGACACTGGATGTTGCTCATTTAACTCTCTACTTAATCTTTTCATTTTCTATCATTTAATATTATATTTTTATCTGTCCTGTTAGCGTACGAGTACGGACACCTGCACGGACGTGCAGGTCGGGTGACCGTAGGGGGGCGTACGGCCATAGAGAAGGACAGGCTGCTGCGTTTAATCAGACGCAGCACCTGTCCTTCCCGGGAGCGGCCCGATACGGCCGTGCAAACAGTAAACATCTGTACGGACCAGCGGTTACCCGTGTGAATGAGGCCTTAGGCATTGTGACAATGGACACATGTATATAAGCTACTGATAAATAAAGAAGATTTGCTATTTGAAACAAGGAGAGTTATAGGAATTTATTTATTTATTTTAGTGGAAGCTGGAAAATTAGTCTTTAACTGGTTAGCTAAAATAGGCAACACCTTTCTTTTTTTTCTGTGAAGGCCCAACATATTTGTAATAGACATGGATTTGTGACCCCTTGGTAATATACACCCAAGCCAAAATACACATATAAAACTTAAGGTCTATGCATATTATACCCTTAAGAATTTTGAAGACAGAGTTAGTATTGCATTGTTTATAGAGGGTTAACTTACTGACATGTTTTCTATTTTATAAGCATTCTTTCCTAAAAGAAGCAGTGCTCCAGTACGCAGATCAGGGTGAAGGCAGTGATCTCTACACAGATCATGACAACCATACATATGTGAAGGGTCACAGTCTTCCAACAGTGTTCCGTTGCATTATAGATAATGCCCTGTAGTTGGACCCAATATAGTTATGATTTCAACGTGGAATAGTCATAGTCCAAAAACTTTTTGATGGCTCCGTTGACTGCCACAGGTGTAGGTTTTCAAAAAGAAAAAAGTTCTAATCTTGTGTGAATGTGTTTTTCAGCAGAAATAGCAATCCCAGTACAACAGCTTTTTGGGTTTTCTTTAATCAAACCATTTCATCTACTTCCTAAATTTGCAGGACTATGCTAATAAACATTACTGTGATTACTTACATACTTTGACATACATGCATCATCAAGCAGAACATATAACTGAGTGCTAGGATTTACATGCCATCCAGAAATAACTTTTTCTGCATTTGAGTATCAGCCAGTTGCAATGTTTATATTACATTAATGAAGAATTGAAAATGTATCTGCTGAAAGCCTGCTAAATAGTGGGGAATTTTTTAATGCAATATATCTCTCTACAGATGCATATTACAGTATATTATCATGGGGGACCATGCGGCCAGGTCCTAGTTGAATCCAGTTTAAATTTTGCAGATTAAGACAGCCGCTTCCTGGTATTGGTATTTACCAGTATTTTTTTTGTTTTCTGACATTTTATGGGCTCAGAATGCTCCGACATTACCGATCCCTGTTGCATCTGGGCATTGGCTACAGGCTCTCCGCAGCATCAGCTGACGTCGGGCACATAAGGCTCATGATTGGAGGAAACCTGTTAGCTTGTCTCTGCAATCGGAAGTTTCACTCGTGAGGCTAGTTTGCAGAGGTGTCGGTAGTTTCGCAACCGCGGTTCTCCTCTCGGCCCCCCGTGTATAAGACGCCCCTCCATTTTTAGGTAAATATTTTTATGAAAAAGTATAGTCTTATACACGGAAAAATACAGTAGTTTAAGACAGTACGGTGTGGGAGTAGGAAATGTTAGTGTCTGGAGTTTCGTTATGTATATATTTGTCCTCATCCTGTATTTCCCCCTCACCACCTGCTACAGATGAGTGAGAGTGAGACATTGATCAGCATGGTGAATGATATGGTACACTGTTCCCCCAGAGCACAGATCTTCATGCAAGTAAGACAGCACTCAAGTGTGTCACTTCATTCTGCATGACGCAGTCCATTTTCATTCCTACATGAAATTTAATATGACGTTGCTATTTATGCAATCAGAATTGTATTGGTAATAACATTAATAATAGATTATGTAAACAGTTGCCATTTTGTAATGCACAAGTAAAATAGGTTATGGTACCTAGAAGAGTCATTGGGATTGATTTACTAAAGGCAAATAGGCTGTTCACTTTACAATGGAATTTGCAATTTGTAGGGGAAGTTTCTTAGTTTAGTGAATGAGCTGAAGCTCTGCAGACTTCTTTCACACAATTATACGCAAAAGTATTGTTTTATTTTCCCTTGCACATAATTGGGTATTTTTTGCTAAGTGAAATATCACAAGAATTACTAAGTTAAGGGGAAACTTCCCCTGCATAGTCCAAATTCCCTTGCAAGGTGAACAGCCTATTTGCTTTTAGTAAATCAACCCCATTGCGTCATCTACATGAATAATACAATGTATAGTCATAATTAGGTGCTTCTATTGGTATGTGCAGATCCTTTGCATCGTTAGCAGTTAGACATCAACTTCCCATAGCCATATTTCTAGAGAGTGTTCAGTCTTCACTAGAAATTCATGTCAGCATGTATGGTCATTCTTGCTTGACATTGCTGATTGGCAACCCAGGAGAAGTGGAAAGGTGAAATTAAATTAAATAAAACACTGGTTAGAGCAGATGTTCAGGCAGATTTAGGAAACGCAAACACCACATACAACACAAATACAAATCAGAGCTGGTGGTAAAAACCTAAAGGAAACAGGTTGCTAGAAGACAGATATAACATATAGGATATACTAAGATCAGGACCAGAAGAACAATCAAAGCACATTATTTATATTTGGCACCTGGTGATGTCAAAGGACACTTGTGTAGCTTTTAGTGCTTGTTGACCATGGGAGATAAGTGGTAAGGGGACATCTACGGCTTGTTATAAAAATATTATTACTAGGCATGCACTGAAATTTCACCCACCTAATTATTTCGGCCGAAAATGGTATTATGGGCAAAATGCCCATAGTGCTATAACGTTCAGAAATTCAATGCATCCCTAGCTTCTCTCCTCCCCGCTGGGCGTCTGTCTGTTTGCCCCGCGATGGCCGCTGCTCTCCCCCACCTGTGTCGGCAGAGGCAGCAGGGATCCGAGAGGACACAGAGGATCCAGCTTTCAGGAGGTCGAGCAGGGTGGTGTGGGTAAGAGAGAGCTGTCAGCTGTCACAGGAGGCATAGCTCTCCTCCTGCATCCCCTGCTCGGCCTCCTGTGACAGGCAAGTCAGAATGGAGAGCGGGTTTCAAGCACTCAGCGATCAGGACTAATCGTATGATTGTGGACATAGTAACTGATACTATCTCCTCCATTTATGAAAGGACAGGTGCAATAAGTATAGAGGCTTACTGTTCCTTCATAATAGGGGTTGCAGAAAAAGAGATTTAGCACTCTGTGTCCTCAGTCTCTTTTTCTATTTTAAAAGAGAAATATCAGAGATCTGTTTAGAACCCTAATATTTCCCCAAAGCCCTAACAGTAAAAAAATTATAATAAAAAATGTAAAATGTTTTAAAAAGGTTGGGGGAAAAAAAATCAATTTCGGTTTCGGCCTGACAACATTTTTTATTTTCGCTTACGGTCTAAAAAATTTTGTTTTGGTGCATCCCTAATTATTAAACATTGTACTGGCTGATATATACGTTGGACAGGATAGATTACAAAAGAAAGCCAGCTTCACAGTGCTATGTTTAAAGCATATATGCATGTTATATTTTCCATCCACTAATTTAAAAATCAAAACTTTTAGGAAATGAGTGACCTTGTGTTAGTTGCAATGAGATGCGGGCACTTTTCAGGTATTTTGTAAAATACATCAGCTGCAGCGCGAGATTCCTTCATCTACGCGTGGATGGGGAAATCTTTTTTATTTTTTTCGCTCAACCCAAAAGCTAATTTAAAAAAATACCCAGCTTTAGTAGTGACTGCAACCAGGTAGGGACCAGTGTTTATGTCTCCACTGTACATTGTTCCCTGGCACATTGTTTCCTTAGCAATGTGCGCATCACAACACATTCTCTGTACCCCTGCTTTGCACCTTTTGCCGAGTGTCTGTAGCAGTTTCTTTCACAGCACTTTACACACTATGGGGTCTATTCACGAAGCTGCCGAAGGATCTGGCCGTAGCTTTGGCCGATGCTTCGGCCCCAGGACCCCTTCGGTTCAGTAGAACCGAAGGGGTGCTGTACAAGCTATTCACTATAGGCCGTACAGCTCCCAAACGTGGCCGAGCGGCTCAGTCGAGCTGAACGCATATGCATCAGCTCGACTGAGCCGCGCTGAAAGCCATTGGCCGACAGCCTGCTTCTGACAGCTGGCTATCTCCGGCCACTTGCAGAGAGATCAGCGTCCCTGGCCGCCCAGGAGGGAAACACTGCTGTTTCTTTTTTTTCTTTATTCTGACACGGTGCGATGTCTGTCAGAATAGAAAAAAAAAAAAAGAATTCCCATTGGAATGCATTGCTACATTCCTATTGGCTATTTCAATTTGCAAAAGCCAATAGTAAACTAGCATTGTACCCGCCCTCTACTGCATTTCTCCATCAGCAGAGGGCGGGCACAATTACTATTGGTTATTGCAAATTGAAATAGCCAATAGGAATGTAGCAATGCATTCCAATGGGAAAACATTTTTATTTTTTTTTTCTATTCTGACATCGCTCCGTGCCAGAATAAAGAAAAAAAAAAAGAAAAAGCAGTGTTTCTCTCCTGGGCGGCCGGGAGCGGAGGCTCCCAGAGCGCCCGGGAGAGTTTTTTTTTTTCGTTTTTTTTTTTACGGCAGCAGAGCCGCCGGACAATAGGAAACTATTGGGCGGAGCTAGCTGTCACTGCTAGCTCCGCACAATCGTTTCCTATTTACTTTTTTTTAACTATTTGAGGGACCGAGCAGAACAGCCGAGCCGAATGCCGCTCAGCGTCATTCAGCTATTCACCCACTGCTGTTCGGCATCTATAAGAATAGGCGGAACAGCATTGAGTAGCCTGCCGGAGGTTCGGCTCAGCCGATCCAGATGTTGGATCGGCTGAGTCGCACTCCTTCTGCACTTCGGGTTGGCCGAACATGCTGAGCATGTTCGGCCGACAAGAAGCCATGTGAAGCAAGCCGATGTACGGCTGAAATCAGCCGTACCAGCCTGAAGTGAATAGCCGAACAGTGTTCCGCTCACTTCACTTGTGGTCGGATGTTCACTCGGCTGACCTCGGCAGATTAGCGAATAGACCCGTATGTTTATCATCTGTGCCAGCCCTCCCCTTCACAGTCACATTGTGTTTTCTGACAGTTTTTCTCCTCTGGCTTCTCATCCCTGTTGTCCATGTGATTTTCTTCAGTACTGCATGCCATATTTTTTTTTTCAGTGCACCCCACCGTAACGCCTTGTCTTGCATTGGGTCTGCACTGGAAAAAATGTCCAGCACAGCCCGAATGCATCTGGGGTGAACGGGCTCTAAGCCTCCTTCCTCTTTCTCCCCAGTCCCCAGAGTCATTTACTAGCCTTCCTTTCCCAGTGTTCCATGGTCAGCTGTCACTCCTTTCTCCCCCTCCTATCTGCAATAAACACATTTCTCTCTGCCTCCGACAAACCCCCCTAACCAGTTATCTGGTACCTCCTTTATCTCACTTCTCTCCAGCCATGTTAAGCTGCCATTTTGCCTTTCTCCCTCATGGTTGTTTTTTGCTCTTTCTCCTATATCCCCCCTCGCACACTTGACCAAATAGTGTGTTGAATGGCTCAGATGCCAAACAGCATCCAGCCTAAACTAACCTTCTTATTTTGCTAATTATTTGTAAAATATATTTTCAAAATCTGGCTATTTTGTACTTAGGTCACCCAATTCCTAAAGTGCATGGCATATTTTGAATTTTGTTGAGCAAAGCATGCTCTTCTAGTTACTTAAGAGCTTTGTTTGATCAAATATATCTGTATCATTTAGGTGTCTCCATACACAGATCCTTACAGAGAGGCATTGCAGAGCTACAAGTTCAGTGAACAAGATACTGATGTAAGTAGATCAGTTAAGACTGGTCTCATTCATGCAATGATGATGTAGACTGACTGCTTCAGTGACATTATGCTCTTCTTCTGGCAGAAACTCCTGGGCAGACTGTGTGAACAACACAAAGTAGTGAGAGAGCAAGACCGTCTGGTGCAGCAGCTTAGAGCTGAGAAGGTAAGCCAAATTAATTTCGCCATTAAGTAAATAAGCATTATAAAAAAAAGTTTGGAAATATAAGTAAGGAAACAACATAAGACAATAATCAAAATTTTTCATAGATCCCATACCATGACCACGTTGCAATCTATGGTGCACTTCAAACGTCAGGCTCCATGCCTGAAATGCATACCAGAGTTGCAATACCCACTCGACAAGAGTGTAACCAGGGTCTGCCATAGGAGGCTGCAAGTTTGGTTTCGAGAGCTACACATACATGCTAGGGCCAATTTACCGACCAGAATATCTTTGGACTGTGGGAGGAGAACCAGGAGTACGCAGAGGAAACCAATGCAAGCACAGGAAGTACATACAAACTTCATTCAGACCAAGGACCTTTGTACTGCAAGTCACTGTGCTGTCTTTCTTGCTTGTTTGGCTTTCTAGTTATAGTATCATAAGTTTATTAATTCAATTGATTTAATTTTCATTTGAAATCAAAGTTCTTCATACCCAAAGAAAAAAAAAAACCTTAGAAATCTAAATAAAATATAAACCAAATTTTCCCTTACTTCAATCAACCATTTGCAAAAGATACAGGGGGGAATTTATCAAAGCACTTGCGACAGTTTAAGCCTCTTAGATCATATTTTTTTATGTGCAAATCTGTATTTTAACATGTGCCCCTGTTTTCTTCAGAGCTTGCACTACTTTTCCAACTGCACGTGTTTTGCACCTGTTTTCTTCAGAGCTTGCACTACTTTTTCAACTGCATGTTTTTTGCACCTTTTTTGCACGTGTTTTCATCTGCACTTGTTTGGGGCTGTCTGAAACTGGAGCATCACCTAAGAAAACACTCACAACTTAAGAAGTCCCAATGACCACTTCTTCAAGATGCGACAGTTAAGCTTTTTGCCTGAAGTTAGAAGTCTTCTTTCTTGGAGTCTATTAAACCTCATTTATCAAAAACATTACAGTAGCTTGATAAATCTGGTGCAAATATATTCCGTGCAAGTTCAAACACTCGCAAGTGCTTTGATAAATTCCCCCCACAGTATGTTAGCGGTAAATATAATAGTAATTGAGTAAACTGGTACGGACCAACTTTACTGTATGTAATTACAGATCAGTACCAAACCTTTGCCGTAATGCTAGGCATACGCAAACAATTTTGATTTATTAAATGCCACCACTTTCAAGTAGCTTTTAATACCAGAAATAATTTAACAGATATAGGCAGATCTACCACTAGTAATTTGCCTTCATTAAGCTGGTTGAAATTGCTAGAAAGCTGCTGTGTGTGGCCAGGGTAATCCACGTAACGGTGGACTTATGGTCTTTTCACCTCTCAGTATGGTCGCTGGGTGGCTTAGGATGTACGGCAGGATAGGATGTACGGCAGGAGTACTAACTGGGTCCATGCAGTCTTCTTGCCAATCTTCAGCTGTGTCTGGTAGTGCTGTGGCCTGGTTGCACATCAGCTGTGCAGGCTCTGAGGGTGCAGTGGAGCCTGAAGGGGAGACTGCACCCGCCGACTACCTGAAGATCAAGAGAGTGCCAGACAGAACGCTGCTTCCAGCTCACTAGCCTTGTCCCTAGATGGCTTCCCATCCTGAGAAATCTAAATGCTGCCATCGCCATTTTGGGAGCCCCTTTCCGCATGGCCTGTACCCGCTTTTTGCTTCACCATTTCCGCTGAGAGACAGAACAACTGCAGCTAGGTAGGGGGGGACCTGTAATGGTAGAGCGGCAAGTGTAGCTACAGAAGGGAAAGGTAGTAGGGTCTTTTGCAGGATATAATCAGGATGCCGTGTGGGAATAGGAGAGCAAATGTCTGTTCACATGAAGTAGCTAGTCACGTCCCCCATGTTTTCTGCAATTAGTATCACACATATCCTCAGTCTTGTAAACAGTCAGCTTATTCAAATGGAGAAAAGTCTGCTGTTTGGTATCATTGTGTGTATGGCACTGAACATGAAACAGAGAAAGCAAAGGAGAGAATTGTCTAACGAGATCAGAAAGAAAATTATAGACCAGCATATGAAAAGTAAAGGTTATCAGACCATCTCTAAGTTTGATGTTCCTGTGACTACAGTTCCAAATATTAAGACGTTAAGAAAATCGACCCCAGTTGGAATAGAAGGATAGTGTGAATGGTAGACAAACAGCCAAAAAAAAGCTTTAGAGACACAAGCTGAATTTCAAGGTACATTAGTTTCTGATCACGTTATCCTTAGCAAGTGCAAAGAAAGAATAAATTACCTGAAGTGGTGCAATGGTAAGCAATAACATGGCCGAGGTTAAGAAATGCAAGTTAATAAAACCTAAAAAATATAGTAAAGTTTATAACCCTCAAAAGTTTATTTCCTTAAAAGAAAGGAGTTCAGCTTGAAATTTCAATAGGAACTGGAAAATGCTTGTGATTCAGAGGTCATGAACTGCAAATAGATCGGGAGTTGAGATAGGTGTATGTTAATAGATTGTAATATACTTCTTACTTATTTTATACTAACTAGTTCAAATAAATAATGTGGTACAGTATATCTATCAAAGCTGTGATGTGCAAAATTCACCAAAGCCAAAGTAGTGGACATTTGCCTAGTGAAAATTACATTCCCAAGAGCTGTACCCCCCACACACACAAAATGGGGCTCCCCCTTCCAATGTACCAGTGTCCATTACTGATAGGCACAGGGTTCTTCAGCACCCCAGATATCCTGGAAGAGATGTTGGCACAGGGGAAGGGGAATTAATAAACTAGCACCCCCAACCCCTCTCCTCCCAGGCAGGTGGTTGCTTCCTCCCAGGTGAACTGGTTTTAGGGATTCTTAAACGCCTAACTAGTTCACAAGTGCATGTGGGTAAGAAATGTAAACAAAAATAAAACACCACACAGTGTAAATAGTAAATATACTTTATTATTAGAATGTTACTAATATTTTGGTCTTATTCCATATTTGGGCAATGAACTTTCACAGGGTTCCAGACACAATTCAAACATTGCCAATGGTGGGAGCCCACTTTTGCTCAGTCCTGTGTTCCCTGCTTTGGGATCCTGCTGCCGGAGGAGCCTCACTGTAAATATTAGTAAAACATTTCTCACCTGTACTGGTGAACTGAGGAGTAGAAGGGACCACTTAAACCAGTTCACAAGGGAATGAAACCCTCACCCTTGCCAACAGACCTTCCTGGGTATTGACGGTGCTGAAGAACCAGATGCCTGTAAATATTGGACACTGATGCTTTAGGTGAGGGACACCTGGTTTTTGAGGGAACCCCTATCAAAGCATCCCCTATACTGAAGGTGGTGATATGACCTTAGCAGGGGAGAGGCTACAGGCTCACTGGTCCTTTTTTTATGGGGATACCAAGCAACGTTCCTGGTGTTCCAGGTTCATTAGCTGTGGTAGGGCACCATGTTTTTTTTTAAAAAGCGACAGTTCTCTCCCCCCCCTGGTTGCTACATTTGCTTTTTATAAATACGGTAAATGTGACTGTGGCATGCCAGGCGAATGTCACCTGGATAAATAGCAGTAAAGTATTCACTGGACACATTGGCCAGTGAATCCTTCTGAAATATATACCTCAAAGTATGCAGGTGATTACAATTCTGCAGTAACATAATGTACTGCTATAAGGCTAAGAAGATAGGCTCCCACTGAGAGGGAGATTTGAAAGCAAATAAAGATGTCTAGTTTAAAAGACCTTATCTATGACACTGCTGACTGACTTCAATTACCTTGTTAGGAGAGTCTGGAGAGTGCGTTAATGGGAACTCACCAGGAGATGGAGATGTTTGGCAGTCAAACAGCTTTTCCTGATAAGTTATTACATCGAAAGGAATCTCTACAGAACCAGCTGATCAGCATTCGTGTGGAACTGTCACAGGCTACTACAGTAAGATATATTTTCTGCCATTTTAACAGTTATACAAAACTTTTTAGCAATGAAATGTATTAACGGTGCATGATATGTATATGTCTACCACTAATTTTGAATATAGTATTATAATTGTTTTCCTCTTCAAGCAAACTAGCACAGTGTTTTTTTTTTCAGGCATTAAACACCAGCACTATGGAATATGAAATCCTAGAAGCAGAGGTGTCTGCTTTGCATGATGCTTTATGGGAACAGCTAAATCTTAACATACAGGTAAGGAAAGGAATGTCACTTAAAGCTAAAGTTTATTTTGCTTATATTTTTCCCTCCCTGGTTCTCCTTAACCCTTCATCAACATGCTAATAACATTGTAAAAATCTTTCCATTTTTATTATATACTTTATTTTACAACTATTGATGTCATAATGGGGTCTCTGTGCTTCACCTCAAACCCCATCCCTCAGTACTCTTCTCAAGAGACGTTAGCCCTGATGAAAGTAGTGGGCCAGCTTTATAGAGGTGTCATGCAAATATAAAACTGCCTTGATAGGTGGATCTCACTCAGAAGGAGGGGGCATTCCTAGGCAGGCTGTTTTTGCATGCAGATTGTCCTAGGTAACGCCCACATGTAATGATGAGCCTCCATGACGGAAAGGACTGAAATCCAATTAATAAAAGGGTTTGGCTAGAGAAAGTAAGGCTCGGGATGAAAGGGCTAGATGATTTTGTATGCCTGGAAATGAGACAGGCTCTATTTGACTTGCTGCAGCTTCCAATGCAAAATAGTGAAGAGCTAATAGTGTGCAGTGAAATCAGAGTAAGCAATTTCAGTATAGCAAAGGAGCCTGACCACCGTGCAAGCCTACAGGTAAGGCTGGAGTTCAGCTTTAATTATCATTGCAAACTGAGCAAACTGTTCCATATCTTTTGTTGATTCCATAGAATGAGCTGATGAACAGACACATTCAGAGAGAAATCTGGAGAATTCAAGATGTAATGGAAGGACTTAGAAAGAATAACCCCTCTAGGGGTACAGACACAGCCAAACACAGAGGTAAGCAAGTTCATGAACCCAAATTGCTCCACCTTTCATTGAGGGACTCAGCACGAATAAACGTGCAGTGTTTTCAACTGCGATCGTGTGCTACCGCTCGGAAAACACCGCAATCTGCCTGGCACGACTGGGGTGCCATTAGAAAATAATGGCACTGCCAGCGCGATCGGCGGTGGTGTGCGATCTGTGACTGCCCCGGTCATCGTGCACGAAACCGAGCGGATGGCTGGGTGGTCACGGAATCGCACACCATTGCCGATCGTGCCAGGCAGATTGCGCGTTTTCCTGCTGCAATACCGCTCGGTCGATCCCACACGATCACGGTTGAAAACACTGCGCGGTGTATGTCGTGAAAATAGGTACATGTACCTTTTTTTTCAGCGATTGCCACCCAGATGTAACCCCATACATGCGGATGCAACCGCACACGATCGCACGTCCCGGGAATCCGCAGGTCTGCACCAACCCTAAAGGGTATATTCACTTTCCCAAGTAATTTGGGAAAAAGGAATTACCCGCACAAATCTCCCTCCCACTATACTTACCTTTCGGCGACCGGTCCTTCCCGTCCACCAGTACGGGTGTACTATCTGTACCTGTTCCATGTATTCTGAATTTCGCTCGCAAATTGCAAGCACTTGGTCAACGCGGTCACCTGACGGCATTGACCAATGAGAAGCGCTTCTTAGCACTGCTAAATACGGTTTGGTTAACATAATTTTTTTTGTATCAGAACAAGTAGATTGTCATGAGGGACAAGTAGATTTGGCCCCCGCTTTAGTCCTTGGACAAGTAGTTTTTTCCAAAATTTCCACACCCCTGATGTGCAATGCGATACTGGACTCTATTCAACTAGTTTATTGCTTTGGAGTCACTCTGGTGGTTTTATGCAGTATGATTTGGCTTTAGTTTTAGTTGACTGACCAAACTTGCAAAATGGCCCTAGCAAAGCTTCCTTTCCTGGGAAACAGATTATATGGCACAACGCTGTGCAAGATAATTAAGAATTCCACAGGTGGTAGAACATCTGTGCCTCAGCCTTGTAAAGCTAGGCAGTAGCAACAGAAGACTGGGCTTTTCTTCTTGGTACATAAAAGTCTTTGTGTTTCTATGGCAGTTTACATCCTCCAAGCCTGCAGATAAATTCTCAGAGGCTTGCAGATCTTCAGATGGCCATCTAACCACATGGGGTAACCACCCTGTACCCTTCTCATATAGGTTTAAAACTCTAAAATGTTATCCCAACCTTTTCACTGTTCCCAAGAAGGAATGGATCAGACCAATTCTGAGCCTCAATACACTTAATACCTTCCTGGATATGAGATTGGCGGGGGTTCCTTCTTTGAACTTAGCACAGATCATCCATTTCTTGTTGATTGGCAGCTCTGGGTCTTAAGATAGCAAGCGGTCCCCCTTACTCAACATTACATCAGGTCCCTTAGACAGAAGATCCCGTGCAAATGGAACAATTGACCCCTTTTTCTAAATAGGGAAATTCACTTCAAGCAAAAGCGACACGATAGCGGTGGCTCATGTCACCAATGCTGTTGTCTGGTAGGTCCTATCTTCCGCTGTGATAGAAGATTGTAACAATGGGATAGGTTCTCTCCAATTGGAGCAGAATCCTGGGCTTGCTGTTGGTCTTTACTGTAAGAATGTATGCTCTCAATCAATATTTTTACCCTCTGCTGAGCTTGTCTTCTGGAAGGACACTCGTTAAGGGTGCAGTCTGACAATGCCACGGCAGTGATGCATGTGAACCACCAGGGAGATAGCAAAAGGCCAGCAACAGTTGAAACACATTTTAAATTTGTCAGAACAGTGGTTAGACATTCCTGGCATAAATAATTGTTGGGCAGGCTTTCTTGGCTGTCTGAGATTGGATCCAGGAAAGTGGTCTCACTACCAGTAGGTGTTTTGAAAACTCTGTCCCACAAAGTGGGGGACCTTGTGGCATTTCACTTCAATAAAAAGCTTGAGAGGTTCATCTCAAGATCACAATATATGTTGGTGGATGCTCTACTAGCCTAATAGGATTGATATGGTTTGATCTAAGTGTCCTCACTCCATCTTCAAGCAATCTGATGAGCATAAGCCTTTGAAAAAAGTAGGTATATACTTACCCGCCTGTGGCTGGTTTTCAGAAACGTTGCACTGTTGCAGAAGTCTGTACGCTGATACTATTCGACTCCTTCTGCAGCAAACATTAGGGATGTTGGGTTCCCAGAAGGAACCAAAGTGGCCAGCGGAAGACACACTATTCCACTGTTTTCTAAGTCTGGAATAGTATCGGCACACAGAGCTTTGCAGGAGAACAATGTTTCTGCAAACCAGCTGCCCATCCTCAAGCCTTTGTACCTCAAGTTTGTAAGACAAACAACTTGGTCTTCTGTTACAAAACAAAAAATGGGTGTGACTGCATCAGCTAATGCCAGCTTCAGTTCAATGGTTTTGCAGACAGCTGTGTGAATGGACCCTTTGTAACGGGGAATGATTTTTTAACCTAGTTATTTGGTTGTCTAATGGTGTTTTCATTTTGCACGTCCCCATGGTCTAATTAGCTACAGTTTTGTGTTACTGAGTAAATGATGGAGAAAATAGGATTGCTTTTACTCACAGTAAAATCCTTTCTCCAATGGTCAATGACGGACACAGCGTCTGCCCTTCTTGGTTGTTAAATACTGCTACAACGGAAGTTCTGTTGCAGTTGTGGGGTTGCCATAAGGGGCAGCTGTCCCCATTTTTTTTTTTTTTTACAACCAAGTGTCCAATTGTCCTGTCTGCAGCAGTATGCAGTGTGGTCTAGCTAAAGTGCCGTGTCCCTTAATGAATACTTTAGACAAAAGGATTGTATGGTGAGTACAAAAATTCCTATGATTTTAAAAATATATACATCTGATGTGGAGACTTGAGACCAAATTGTAGGCTTACAATTTTTCTTTTATCTTTATTTTAGTAGTCACAGGACCGTCAGCAACGTTCAGTTCCAACAGCCCAGCCAGTCCCTTAAGTTCTGCCAGTCTCACTAGTCCCCTCAGCCCCTTTTCACTCATCTCAGGATCTCAGGGATCACCAACTAAGCATACCACAAGTGAGGTAAGTAGAATTAATCTCATCAGTTGTGTGAATATTGGTGATTTATGGAAAGAGTGATTATGAAATACTAACCTCACAGACAGTTGTGAAACCTGGTTCGCTCACTGAAGCAGGTAACAAATCAGAGCTGTATTTTAATTCTCTAAGCTTTGCTAAAAATAACAAAAATGAATATACAAGTTGCTAAGGGTATTACTTTATTACCCAGTTTCACTGTTTTAAAAAAATAAATGTCCTTGTGATTGTTGTGATTCGCATGTTGAGATTTTACTGCATGCCTGTCACCATTGTGATTTTTCTAATCTGCTTTAGACTGCAATATACCACAGTTCATATCTTAAAATTTAGATTTGTAATCTTTTATTCATAAGTTGCTGCAAACTTGCAGCATAGCATAAAATACAGTTCATGCCATATATGAAACACTGTCCATGATATATCACCATTAACCACAGTCATAGGTCTACAGTTTGGTCATATATTTTTTTAAATTCACAGAAATGTATTGATACATAAAACACAAACAGGGAAACAGATAGTTTTAAATATATTTGTTAATTTTGTTGCATTCACTGTTCACGTCTGATGCAAGTTTTTCTTCCACTGAAGATAATCTTTCAGGAGAGAAATATGGAAGCCATTCATCTGAAAGCCGAACTTTGGTTAAAATCAAAAGTTACCATTTCAGTGACTCTTTCCCACATTGCAAAGGTTAAATGCTTGTGTTTGTCTTTGTTAACCCTATACAAAAACATTTAACCCTTGCTGTGTGGGAAAAGCCCTTCTACAAGGGTAACATTTTAATTTTACCTGGTGTTCAGCTCTAAATCCTTTAGTACGGGGTAAATCACTGGCTTGTTACAAGCATGTACATATCTGGTGTCCTACCACTTGACATGCATGTGCTTGTTTCAGGCAGTATATTCACTCAAGTAGTGAAGAACAGGAAAGAATTACAGATCGGGAGGTTACCTTTAAAAGCAAGTGAAGAAGCAGCTTCTGTAATTGTATCCTAACAGTTTCTTTTTAACAAGATTTTTTGGGGCTAAATGAAAATCAGACCTCTTCTGTGGCCTCTTTCTGTAGAAATATGGTCTTCTCCCCCTACTGTCTCATCTCAACTGCTCAGATATAATGGTGTTCTTCAAACACTATTATATTAAAGTATAAATTACAGTTTTAAAGGATAAAATCTATTCAGGGGAGCTGGTATACAAATATAATAGTATAATTAAAAAATGGGGGTCTATTTTTTTACTTAAAGTTTGCTTTCAGTTTAGATGTGCAGGACCCTATGGTAAAAATCCTAGTTGGTACAACAGGCCTTCAAAAAGGCTTTACTGTGTCTGCCCTTTGTCAGGAACTGGCTCTTACCAGCATTGCTGAACGAAATTATTAAGTATGTTACAAGGGGTAAGAGTACCCATCTCCCCATGGGAAATAAGCCACCATGGTGAGAGCACCCCTTCCTTTTCAAGTGATTCCTTTGTACCCTGAGAAATGCCACATTCTCCTGTCTTCCCAAACCACAGGCTTCAATGACATTCAGGAAACTTTGGCAGGCCAAAAATACCAAAACCTCACAGAAGTCTTTATCTGCATGAACGTTTGTCCCTACCTGTAATTCCAAGCTAGTGAAACCCTTGGCAGCCTATTTCTGGGTCTCATGTTTTCCTCCTTCAAGGCAATACCCTTTTTAATTCCACACGAGGGCTCTGCAAAGACACTGACTTTCTGCGTGGGACAAGTCACCCATGTCGTTGGGCAGGGAAATTCAAGTTTACATGCTTGGTTGTTCCTCACATGGTGGCTAGTCTTTCGAACCCTAGCAGAGGACAGGTCTTTTCTTCTTTTCCAATAGAAAGTAGTCACATTAGATGTGAGTCACGTACCCTGACCTTTGGCTTGTCATCTGCTGTCTGCTGAGTTGGGTGAACCTGGGGGTTGCAACCTGGTGTCAGCATGCAGAGAAACCCATTTCCACCATCAGAAGCTCTTGCCCTTAGACTCTGCACCCCAGTGGATCCCACACTACCTGCTCAGTACTCCAGTGGTCTACTTTGGTCTCAGACTCCCGGCCTATTCTCGTATCCTCTCAGCTCTGGCTACTAGCCACACTTTCATGTTCCACAGCTCCAGTTCATAGTTGTATCCTTTCCTTTCTCTTGTGGCTAGTGGCGTACACTGCCTGCAACCCCCCAGTCCAAATCCTGACAGTAAGATTCTCTTCTACGTCCAGATGGGTATAGACAAGATGGCACTAAGTACTATCATAGGCCAGATGTCAGCTTTGGCTTTTCCTTTGGAAATAACTCAAGCCATTCATTTATTGATTTAGACATTTGTTCAAGGCATCACCTATATAGTTACCCCTATTAGAACTCCACTCAAACTATGGCACTTGACCCTAATCTTAAAAACTCTTAAGCAATCCACTTTCAAGCCCACCAGAGAAATTTCTCTTTCTTTAACCACAAGGTTGACTTGTTCATAGCAAGCACTTTTGCAAAAGGGTTTGGGAATTAGTGTATCTCTCCTGTAAATAACACTTTTTTTTTAATTCCATAAGGATAAGGTTGTAGTCTGGCAGATACCACCATTTTTGCCAAAGATGGGCTTTGAGTTTGAATGGAGACATTGCCTTGTCTTTCCTCTCTCCAGCTTCTACCCATCCTAATGAGATTGGTCTCCATTGTTTGGATGTGGTTAAGGGTTGTTAGAGCTTATATAAACACCACAACTCCCTTTAAGAAGTCAGATTCCCTGTTTGTCCTCCCAGAGGTAAAGGTGCTCCAGCTTCCAGCGCCACCATTTTTTGGTTGAACAGACGTACTGTTGTTTAGGCATTGAAGGGGGAACTTCTCATTTCTCTAGAACATGCAGTGCCATTGTGTAATCAGACATTTTTGCCTCAGATTTGTAAAGCTGTCTGGGTTTCCACTCACATGTTTACCAGTTCTACAAGTTAGATGTGTCAGTATTGATAGATGCTGGTTTGGGTTGTAATGTTAAGCAGGCAGCTCTGTGAGCCTCTTGTTCATTCTTGTTGGGCTCTGGTTCACAGTTTGATTTGTTCTTGTGGTGTTCCCGCCTCTCTGTTTTGACCGCTTTGGGATGTACAATGGTTTATGAATATAAAGTGTTCTACTTACCATACTTACCATACAATCCCTTTCTTAGAGTCCATTGAGGGGCACAGCTTCCTCCCCTGTTGTGGTAAATATTGCCAAGTAAATTTGTACTGCTTGCTACATCTGAGAAGAATATCTATGGAAGTGTTATGGCCTATGGGGGCTGGCTTACAGTTTTTTTGTGCTGAGTGTCAAATCCTGTAGTAGCCAGTAATATATTCCATGGTTCCGGAATATTAAGTGCTGTGTCCCTCAACAGACTCAGAGGAAAAGATTTTTATGGTAAATACAACAATCCGATCTAGTTTACTAAAGGTAGAAAGGCTGTTCACTTTGGAAAGTGTTTGTTGGTAAAAAGGGTGAACAATGATTGGGTATTCAAAGTTACTACGTGAACATTTCATGCTGTATTCTGAAAGAAGGGAAGCTAGGTAGGAATTTTAAGCATGTAAAAAGCACTTCAAAATGTAAAAAGCTATTTTTAATTTTTTGTAAGTTATGCTATGTGAATGGGAACATAACAGATAACCTATCAAATATAACAGAGGGGTTATCCCAATCTGGCTGCAAAAGTGGAAATACACTTACATACATACAATGGTGCAAGAATACAGATAAAGGATTGGATAAATAGCCTTTGCTTACCTGGTTGCTGTTATATGTATAGCCAAAACCTTTTTTTTATCATTTTGGATTTAGTAGGGAAGGATTAAAACCCCTGCCAGTTTATCATTTGATGTCTTTACAATTGAGGACATTCCCCTTCACTTCCTGTCCCAGAGACATAAGAGGAAGTTAGAGAAGGTCTCCCAAACTCAAGGGAATTAGACAGTTTACCCTGGAACACATGTCCCCATTGGAATATTTCCCCTTTTCTCTTGTTCTGGGGGCAACTATAAAATCTTTCATTTACTCTCAATTTCCTTCACAGTGATAGTGGTCACCAGTACAAATAGAGTGGTGATTTTTTTCAAAATAGGAACACATACGTGAATAAAAACTTGACCTAGGCTCCAATCCTTCCCTGCTATATCCAAAACTAAAAAAAAAAGTTTTTTCGTTTAAATGAAAAATTTACACCACAAAGTTCAATATGCATTTGTTTTGGATTTTTTTTGTCATGAAACCATTTTCACTATTTTCATGACATCATTGACTGTTTCAGTTTCTGTCAAGCTTATTTTAAAATGTTATGTCCTGCTTTTTTACCCTTATAATTTTCCTAATATTTCATCCCTTGCTGCTAATGCTCTCTGGCTTCCTCTCTGCTCAGGACTCGGGCCCCCCTCGGCCCCCTCTCCCTCTTTCATACACACCTCTGGATTCTCCTCCAGCAGTCCCTCCACCCCCAGGGGAGGGCCGCTTCCAGCCTTGGCCTTACCCTGTCTCCCCCTGCTGGCCACACAGTGAGGTAACTAGGGGGCATGCACTGTGTACAAACTTGGGGAGGGAATGTAAAAAGATTCTTACATCTAAATGTAAGAGTGCATGGAAATATGTAATTTATGTATTTTATAATATAATTAATACTATCATACTAAAGATAAATTCCAGTGAGGCATGCTGTGCTGTGTACTGTTTGCCATGTCGGAGGTTGTAAATTAGGCTGAACAATATTACATAACTAATGAGTTCATTTAAAATAGAATTCTACCCAAATCTTTTATTTGAATAGAATTTTTGTTACAACATCTGTCATATATTTGCCCCTTTCCTCATTTGAGAGATTTCCATCACTTTCACCTGTATCACTTGGACAGGACATGAGCTAAATCTAACCAATGAGGACAGAGAACAATTAAACAAACTTTAATTAGTTTAGTGGGAGGAGTATTAGAATACCTGTCAGGTTTTGTTGCAGTTGATTTTCTTATTTTCTGTTGTGTCACAAGATCAGGAAGGGAGGAGAAAGCTTTATATGACGTATTTTACTGTATGTAACAAAATAATTTGTAAGTGGGTTTCCAACTCTGATCTTCTTCCATACAATGTATAGGACTAGCTGTAATTAGCATAGTGTAAATATTAATTTATTCAAGGACATACATCTTTGCTAAAACAATATAACCTGCTATGAGAGTAATATGTGGTTTTCTTATTGGTGATTTCATCCGGCAGATGCCTGGCTGTCCTGCAAATACTTTTATTACTTTTTTAATCAATGACCCAGAAGCATTATTTGGCAAATTAAAGCTCAAGTTTAGCTATGATTAAAGCCGTTATGGTTTAAATGCATTAGCATGCTAGTTTTATTTGCACTGTATGTATTTTTTTTGTACCAGTAAATATTGAGGACTTGCAGCCTTATGCAGGACTTTTCTTACATACTTTTAATTTGTGTCGGCAGCCAGGAGCCCAGTGCAAGCGCCGTATTTTCATTGAGCCTGATTGTAATAAGGATATTGTGCAGTCATTCATTGTACTTACAAGCTTGGGGAAAAAAGAAAAGAATCCAGCCTACAGCTCCAGCTGCGTCACCCTATATCTGTTGCTGTCCCTCACAGAATCACCTGCTTACCGATTGTTGTGCTTGTCTTCCAGGTTGAATGATGCCCTGAGTCATTCAACACACTTCCTGGGAGCCCAAGACATCCTAATCAGAATTTTTTTGCAAAAATTAGTTAACATTCTGCTAATTCATAAATATGTTATGGGGAAGAGAGGACTTTCCTCAATCAACAGCAATGCCACATGTTGATTGGCACATTCCCTTTTGGTACTCCTGTTGCTTGTTGTGGGTGCTGACATGGAGAGTTGTGAGCATCCTACCTGCCCCCTTAAACCAATCATGTATCCACAGACAAATAATGAAACTACTCACAAACATTGTTTTAATTCAGTATTCTTAATATAGCTTCTTATCTGGCATAATTGAGTGCAAAATAAATGTTGGTGTAATATAATGTATTTTAATACCCCCGTTCCCTATAATGATATTGAAGTAATTATGTATATATAAATAAAGTATATTTTTGACTGTACAGAATGAAGTTTCCAGTAAATACTCTGCCAAATTTCCTGTGCACATTTAAACTGTTACGTAGGCAGAATGCCCTTGATGGATTGTGCTGCAAGATGTTCACATGGCATCCTGGGGAGTTTTCTGCCTAGAGTTTCAAACCATTGCACATTAAGAATCCACTCCAGTGGATTGTAATGAATAGTGTCAGCAGTCAATTCATAGTTTCCTGTGCACTTTAAACAGATCACTGGCTGGGAAGACCAGTAAATTGTTCTGAATGATGTCAGGAGGGATTTCTAGACAGTCTCCTCCCTGGAAATGTCTTGTGCTTTTAAAAGTATTTCCAGGGTGGGATCCCCTTTACTGCGGGTAGAGGAACTTGTGCTTCTTGTTTTTCCCTTGCCAGCATTTCAGAATGAAGAGGAGCCCAGCATAGTTTTTTGTTTAACAAAATAAAAAATAATGGTCCAAAATTTGCTGATGGCTGAAAGTAGACTTACCCTAGAGCAGCAGTATCCGCCTAACCTACTGCACAAATTATTACATTGTGGTGAAAAGACCCCAGAAATTAAAAAAAAAGGCAAAAAAAAAACCAAAAACTTTTTGAGCATGTCCTAGGTCCACCATTCCCCATACCCATGGGCATGAAAAAAAGACTAAGGCTTCCCATCTCCTCCCTTGTTTACAATGACAACGTGGAGGACCAGCTCTGACAGAATAACGGGGCATTCCAGAAGCTACTAGTCAAGTGGGCCTGGGACATGCAGTACAAGAACCTATAGAAATTGTCCCTGTTCATCAATAGGCAGGATATTGAAAGTTTGACGCATCCCACCCTTCTGATGTCTTGTGCAGGGTGCATTTCTATAATAAAAAATAAGAGATTGTGCTCAAAGGAAACAAAAAACAGAACCTCACACAACTAAAACAGTGAGGATATTTTATTTCTAAGTAGATGCTTGGAGTAGACACCTGTATAAATTACATGGCAGCTATATTGTTTGGAAGCTGTTATCCTAAACCTCTTTGGCGTTTTTAATTTCCTAGGTCCCCACAGTCGTAAATGGCAGCATTCTTAATATTACTTTCTCTTTATGACATGGGGCTCTCCGTGAATCATCTCCCCACTATTTTCAAAATGATATGCCAAATAGTTACTGATGACACTTGCCTCTATTAACTCTATCAGGTGGGAACTTGAAAATATATAAGTATGATATTAGAATGCGGTGGAATGACTTTTGGAGAGACACTGAAAGTGCTAATAACTTGTGGCTTTCCTCATCTGATTCTCTGCAGGCTCGCAGTGCTGGCTGTATAAACACTTCATTGACGCACTTTTTACCTCCAGTCCCACAGATTGGCTAATACATAATGAACATATGCTGAGAGATTTTGTAATTTGTTTAATTTTATCTAGACTGACCCCTAAATCAATCTAAATGCCTGTGCTGATGCACAGTAGTATCATTTATTGTAAATGACCAACGCACCTTAAAAATGCTTTTTCGTTGCAATGCAGCACAATGCACAGTGTATTGTGAGCTGCATTGGAAAAATGCAGCCTTCTTTATTTTTGTGATTGTTGTGTTGCGTTTCAGCCCATTCACACAAAACAACACTGTCGGCTATGTTTGGATGTGAATCTGTCCTTTGTGGTGCATTGGCTTTGACACTGGTGGGTAGCAACTTTTCTGCCCAGTAGTTACCATCTGGAGTGGATCACAGTGATAAGTGGTGGCAGAGTGGAGGTGACCGTGCCTATGAGGAGCAAGCTTTTCTCTTATAAATTAAAAAAACCAGTACAGACTACAACATCTCAGTGTGGGAATTGGTGCACATGTTTAAAATCTGGTACTGTATCATGGAAAAATTGTACATTTGTCGGATCAGGTTGAGTATGCTATGAGCAAGATATAGAGAAAAGACCAACTGATTTGCTGGGAATGGGATCTCTGTGCACTGGAGGCAGAGTTACCCGTGTGGAAGTTAGGAAGATGGCATCTGCCCTGTTTCAGAAATGCTTTGACCATGCCTGATTTTACAAAAAAAGCTTTAAACACCCTGTTCATGCTTCAGCAATGCACTCCCTTTCCTCCTGAGATCCTACTGACCAGTCCTCTTACATGTTGAATGACTGCACACTTCTCCCTTGCACATAGTGCCAACTAAGATACCCTTCCAGACTCCTCCCCTACACATACTGCCCATTATTATATCCTCCACATACCTCTCACTATCATACCCTCTGCACTCCACCACTGCATATTGTGCTGCTGTCATATCCTCAGCACTAACTGCCTGTTTTCATACCTTCTGCTATCCTCCATCGCACATAGTGCTCAGTGTGATACCCTCTACACTCCTCCTGCCACGTACTGCCCATTGTTATCCCCTCCACCCTCTTTTGCTGAATTTACTACCAGCTAGACACATCTTTGTAATATCCGCAGTATTACCCATTCTGGAACAGGCACACTTTTGCTAGTACTAATTCATGCAGGTGGCTGTAGTTAGAGACAATATCCAAACAGATGAAAAGCATCTATTATTAAAACACATTAATACTTGAACAGACCTATCAAACAGTTAGAGGAGAAAACATTCCAAATAGTGTAGACAAATTACAATAGGAATGTATTTGGTAAAGGCAGACTGAGGTCAATGATATGTAATGAAATGTAGCAATATTATTTCAGTATTAAAAATCTAAAGTCCTTTGGAAAAAAAAGACAGTACTCATAGTCGCTTCTCCTAACAAAGTGCTTTCAGTTTTCAAAAGCAGTTCTGCAGGAATATCAATCGTATTCAAATTTTTTCGATAAATATATTTTTTTAACTTCATCAGAGCACAGGATATGTGTTTTATTCTTTTTACTAGATTTACAAAAAAAAATTTGGGGGGGGAGGGGGGTTGCATGTATTATTGTGTTTTTATGTACATTTGTTTGCAGTGAATTTTGATGTTTTTTTACATTTGGTTTATGGGTTCTTTAAAGGAAACCAACATTGAGAAAAATATGGAAACGGTTGTTATTGTTACCCCATAGTTCTCTTTTAAGCCAGAAGCAGCTAAAATTTGTAAGTGTGTTTCCCCATAGTTCTCTTAAGGGTCACGGGAGGACACAAACTAACCTCCTCCCATGACCCAAAGCACAGTATATCGCGGGCTATTGCTCACTTTATGCTAAGAGCGCCGCCGCTGGGTTGGATACCGACAATACTGACGAGCCAGCTGTGCCCGGCCAGTCAGCGCTGGAGGATCAGAGCGGGGGGAATCCCTGCAAGGAGCTGTGACTGACAGTCATTTGCTCTGCAGGGAGATGATCGAGAAGTGAGCGAGCAACGATGTGTGTTCGCTCACTTCCCAATCTATTGAGCCGACCTGTGACAGTTTCATTGTCACACGTCGGCTCAAAATATGAGAAGTGATTTTTACTCACCTCATA